AGGAACACTGAGCAGGTGACGCCCACAGTCCGCAGTCATGGTGAGCTGAGGGGTCCGGTGAAGGGCAGCTGCTACTGGTGGCAGGCAGAGCCCCACATGTCTGCCAAAGCCCAGGCCGTGCACCCCCAAGCTCTGGACGCGCCCTGCAGTGCCAGTGCTGTTAACACACTAGCGTGGGGAGCGGGTCCGGACAGCCCAGCCAGCGAGTGGATGGGGGCTCCCTGTGTCGAGCAGCCCTCAGACTTAAGGGGAGAGGGAGACAAGTGGGAGAGGGAGGGGGTTGGGGCGACCTTGAATGCCCTACTGAGCTCTGGGCAGCAGACACCGGGTCTTACGTGGTGGGGAGACACAGTCAGCTTCATGCTCTACGAAGTGTCCTCCAAAGCTGCAGAGGTGCAGTCCTGGGGTGTGAGGTGAAAGGGCAGGCTCCCCTCCTCCTGCAGCTCTCAGGGTTTCTGAGGATGAGGCAGGGTCAGAACTGGGGCACCCTGGAGACGCGGCCTTGGAGATGGCCTTGGAGAGCAGCTGGGAAGAGTGCTCATGGCTCCGGGTGATGGCCAGCTGGTCCTCCAGAGGGAAATGGGAATTGAAGGGCTAGCGGGGAGAGCCCAGGCTGGCCGCCCTCCCTTTGTTCAGGGACTCTAGGGCAGGTGCAGGGCAGGTGCTGGGCAGGCGTGGAGACCAGCCCGACCCTCCTCGCAGGCCCCTGGCAAGTCACTGGGCCTGCTGTGCTCACTCGGGGAGGTACAGCATCCACTCCAGAAAGCATCCTGAGGCCTCCAGGGCGTTCATGGAAGCACTCGGGGCAGTGGGTGCCCGTGGGTGGAAGAGTTCTGTGTCCTGCCCGTCACCATGGGCCTGTCCTGCAGCCCAGTGCTGCCCCGTCTGAGAGCAGCCTGCGTGTATCCTAGCGTGCGCCTTTGTGACCTCAAGATCGTCCCGGAGGGCTGCGCACGGCAGTCTCTACCTCTGTCTGGTCCCTGAGTCTTTACCGTCGTCCACCCTTCCGGATGGACACTGTGTTCCGCTCCCTTGGAAGTTTGTGGCAACTGTTTGCTTTCCCCGCCTGCCGGCCTGGGCCAGGGAGGCAGTGGCTCCTCCACCCCGCCCCCACCAGAGCTCGGCCTCTTCCTTGGCACCGTGAATTTCTATTGAGAAGGGAAAGAAAATCCCGTCCAGCCAGAGTCAAGGCGAGAGGATTGTTCTCTTCCCGCCCTGCCTTCCCGCCTTCCCACGTGGTGGAGGGACAGGGATGCAGAAAGGGATGTTATTGATGAGGTTGCTGTGGCAACGACCCCCAGGAGGCACACATCCGAGCTCTGTTATCTCTGCCAGCCCACCCCAACTTCTGGGCTGCACCAGGCTTCAAGGCCGGCTGCTCTCTCTCTCCGGCCTCTGTGTGGGCCCTGCGGCAGCAGCCTAGAAGGCAGCTTCAGAAAACAGCTGGGAGAAGGCCTTGGGGAGCAGAGGGGACCCCGCCGGCCGCCCTCTGTGTAATCAAGCACCCCCTCCGGTCCCCCATGCCAACTGCCCTGGGTGGTCATCTTTGAAGGCCGCGTCCACTCGCCAGGCTTGTGAGAGTTTGAAGAGAAAGTGGGCTCAAGACCACGTGGGTGCATCGCGTCTTCCGGGGACCACAGTGCCCCCATCGGCCTCCCTCCCTGCCCCAAGCCTGGCCCTGCCACTACTCCTTGGTCCCGGCTGAGCTGGTACAACAGCTTCCCCTGGGTCTGGCCTACAGCCCTGTCCCTCCCACAGCCAGAGACGGTCCTGACTCAGCCACATCTCTGCCTGCTGCCAGCCCTCACCCCGAGGGCCTGGAACTCCTGATTTGCACAGAATAAAGTAATCATTCTGGAATCAGTGGACCTGGCCCCGGGGCAGCAAGCCCTCCTTCCTTGCCCTTCCTCCCACCCTGGCACCAAGGAGACACTAGGTTGGGGTTTGCAGAGTGTAATTGGATTTGCATGGGTTGGAGCCGATTAGTAGTAACCTGCCTGGCACCAGCTCTGTGAGGAAGACAGAAGCAGGGAGCTCCGGGGTGGGCCATTTCCCTGCTGTGAGCTCCCTGCCCTGGGGTGGCCTCGGGAGAACCAGGGAGGGGAGCCGGACCCCTGCCTGCCTCTCTCGGTGGGACGGCTGCGTTCGGCTCTCCCTTCCTTGGGCAGCTGGCAGTCACAGGCACCATGGCCTTGTCCAGCTCTGCCCTGGGTCCCTAATTCTGTTCACCCCAGAAATTGTTGGCTGCCTATCAGGATCTGGGGGGACCCCATAGCCTGAGTCCCAGTCCCTCTGCACCTCAGGGGATCTTTTCTATCTCATGCAGAGGGGCAGAGGGCATGGCCAGTGGGGACTGTCCAGCCCTGACCTCCCAGGTCCCCCAAGGGAGGTGGGTACAGTTTCTTTGGAGTAGTTCCCAGAGCTGGTGGCCTTTGATGCCCTTTATCTCCAGGAGCCCCCAGGAGCACTTGGCAGAGTCCCAGGGATACTTTTCTCGGACCCAACCACCTGAGGGTCCAAAAAGATCATTTTGGATAAAAATACCTTTGTGTTTCCCTGTGTTAAGTTTCTAGTTGTTTCTTTTTCTCTAGCTTGCTTTCCAGGAGGGTAGATAACAGTAGATATAACACACAAGCACAGAGCACAGACCCCCGAGCTCTCTGGGCACCTCTGTAACTATTTTTTTTTTCTTTTTGTCTTTTTGAGACAGGGTCTCACTGTGTAGCCCAGGCTGGCCTTGAGCTCATTTGTAACCCAGGCTGGTCTCGAACTTGCAGTGATCCTCCTGCCTCAGCCTCCCTAGTACTGGGATTACAGGAGCGTGCCACCATGGCTGGTCCTCTGTAACTGCAAAGAGGGTAAAGCCATCCCCACTGGTGGGCCTCGGCCCTCATTCTGAGAGAGAGGGGGCTCCTGTTCCTGGGTGGAGGAGAGCAGGGGCTGAGGGGCTCGAGGCCTCCCCGCAACTGTCTGAGAACGCAGCTGAGGCCTTCAGAGGGAGGCTGGGGCCCCATCTCTCTGTGTCTCATCTCTCTGTGTGCAGTGATGCTGGCTTCCTCTCCCAGATTCACTTCTGCCGGTAAGCAGCAGCTCGGCGTCCTGGGGTATCCTGAAAGCGCAGAAGCTCTAAGCAAGACCATTAGAGGCCGTGTCCTCTGAGAGGCAGGCAGGGGCAGGTTTCTGAGGCCTAATGCTCCGTGGTCTGAGGTTCCAGGGCCATACCAGCTCCCCGGGGGCAAATTTCCGGCCAGTGATGGTGAGCAGGGCTTCTCGTAAATTGTGATGCTTTGCCTGGAACTGGAAATTCAGTCTCCTCCTCCTCCCCAAGTGTGAGCCTGAGCCAAGCGGGGCCTTGGGCTGCTCCCCGCTCAGGAAGGAGCTCGGGTCTCCTCGGCAGGCCATGGGACGGAAGGGCGACACAAGCCGAGTCCACCCCTAAGTAACTGCTAACGCTACTCATGCTGTCCAGGGGCCAAGTCCTGGCCGGGGCAAGAAGTTCCCTGAGGACCCAGCAAGAGGCTGGGTGTGTCTCGGTGGCCTAAGGAAGTCCCTCTCCTGAAAGCCACCTCGCAAGGCGGGCTGCTGGGCCTGGCCAGGGCCTCGCAGGGAGCTCCCTTTCCCAGGTCTGCAAGGGGGTGGCACCAAGCATCAGAAGCCACCTTGTCTGTCCCCAAACACCTGCCTTTTCCGCCTCGGTGACCTCCGTGGAGTCACACAGCTGCTCCAGGAGGCTGTTGGCCCAGCCAGGCAGCTGCAGGGAGGCCTGGCCTTAGTGACTTTGCGCCATGCTGCTTCCTGGAACAGGCTCAGGGCTCCGGGCAGCAGGAAGCAGCCAAGGCAGGAGGCGCTGGTGCAGACGAGCCCTCCGCCCACCTGCGGGTGTGAGACGCAGCGCCCTGGCTGTGTGACCCAGGCCTCGGGCTCTTGGCAAAACTGACTCGAAGCCTCCTGTGAGGAGCAGGAAGTTTGCCTATTTAGCCTCGGGTTGCTTGGTTTACACCTTGGTCGTACCTTGCACCGTGCAGCAGTTTGATTTGATGTTTTGGGAAAATCGAGGTGAGGGAATAATACGAGCAGTAAAATCCAGTGAAGCCGGGGTCGCGGTGCCAGGCAGGACGCAGACACTTGTGTCGTTCACTTCCATTCAGGGCGTTTACTGTAACGTGAGCTTTAGAGGGTGCTAGGGACGGGACCCGTGGCCTCCTGCAGGCTACACCCCCATCCGTAGACCTTTATCTATGTCAGGCTGATTGTTGTTTGTTTTGCTTTTGGGGGGAAGAATCTCCCTATGTACTGTAGGATAGCCTCGAATTCATGGTGATCCTCCTGCCTCAGCCTCCCCAGTGCCAGGATTACAGGCTTGTGCCACCTCGCTCAGCCCCTGCATCTTTCAGTGCATCCTGCATCCGGCCTGGCTGTGTTTACAGTGCATAGGGCCACGATTTACCTAGTTGTGCCCCGGAGCAAGAAGCCAGCGTGTTCCTCAGGACAGAGGCCACCCTGTGAGCTCACCCACCTACAGGGTCCTCTCCCCTCTGTGCCATCCTGGAGGGTAGAGATGGAAGGCAGGTCACAGAGCCGGTGAGCGGCCAGGCCACGGCCCGACCCTTTCATCTGCCGGTGGCCTCTTGATGGACTTGTGACCCGCAACCTCTCACTTGACCCCTGACCTCATAACTTCTAAAAACTCCTCACAAATCATCAGGAAGATAAACATCAACTGGGGTCAACGGAAAGCAGCCGCTCTGGACAGACCAGGCGGATGGGCAGGAGACTGAGCTGCGGTCCCTCTAGATCCCGCCACCTCCCCGGGGGATCTCCAGGAACACCCCCGGCACAGGCCTGCATGGGTGCAGGGCTTGGGTGTTTCTGTGCCCACCATGTGTGCAGCGCAGTGCCTTTGAAGTGACACTTTTTGTTAGCGGCACCTTTTCAGCCTGAAATTACCTCTCCCACTCTGTCCCGGCCCCCAACCCCTCTCTTGTCTGTCTTTCTCCCAGAGGGCATGAACTGCATGAACAAAGACCACGGCTGTGCCCACATCTGCCGGGAGACGCCCAAAGGTGGGGTGGCCTGCGACTGCAGGCCCGGCTTTGACCTTGCCCAGAACCAGAAGGACTGCGCACGTAGGTAGATGGAGGCAGATGGGCCACGGCCCCACGCGTCTCCTGCCGCGGCTTTATCAGGGTCCAAGCAGGGTGGGGTGGGGGAGGGCAGGGTCCCTGCAGGGGCTGGGAGGGGGCTGGGCTGGTGCGAACCTGGGCCTGGTCCCACTGTCCTGAATGAAGGCTGGGGCGGGCAGGGGCTCCTGAATCCCAGTCTGCAGTGGGAATGGGAGGCTGGGCCCAGAGACCTGAAAGCCCAGGTGCCTTGGTGGCCTGGGGAGCCCAGAAGACAGAAGACAGGAGAGTATGAAAAGGCGGGGAGGGCGGCTCCAGGGTCCTGTGCAGCCCGCACCGACCTCACTGCCAGCGATCCCCACCGACGAGGCAGGGAACACGATCCCGGCTCATCTCGGGCAGAGAACCCACTGGCACCATGCCACCACGCGTTCCAAGACTGAAGCGGGCAGCAGGAACTGTGTCCCCCTCTGCTGGGACAAGAGCTTCGTCAGGCCAGCTGGGACTGTCCCTAGAGAACGTGTTCCTCGGCCCTCGGCCCTCGCCATCGGAGTAGGAGTAGCGATGGGGGTGACAACAGGCCGTGAAAGAAGTGGCAATTCCCCTCCCTAATTCTGTTTTTTTTTTTTTGTTTTTTTTTTTTTAAAGAGGAAAAAGAGAAAAACACAAAACAAACCAAAGCGGCGTAAGGGTACACGCAATACAGAACTACAAAACAAAACAAAACAAAACAAAACAAAACAAAACAAAACAAAACAAAAAAACATAACAGTAAGAAATTACCTGCTAGTATCCCTCCCTAATTCTGTTCGGAAGACGGCAGGCCCGTGTTGTCCCCCACCCTGAGTCACAGGGACCCTCCATCGTCACCTGCCCTCCAGGCTGGGGCAGCTCAGCCTCCGGCTGTCACCAGGGCCCAGGACCACAAGCTCCCTCTCTGGGAAGTGGGCGCCAGCCTCCAAGGGCAACCTCTGTGTCCCGCCTCGTGCTCCGGGTCTGGCCCTGGAGTGCACTTCTCATCGCTGCAGCTGGACAGCAAGCCCAGGTGTGGAAAGGCAGGACAAACAGACAGCCCAGATGGATTCCTGTAACCCCCAAGACACCGCCTGCCACCTAGCCACTTCGAGGATGGAAAACACCAGCTCCAGCTGTCCCAACCCTCCTTGTTTGGGGGCCACAGGGGAAAGGTACAAGACAAGAACACATAGGCAGCAGGAAATGGGTTCCTCCAGCACAGCTCAGGCCCTGTGTGGGCCCTGGAGAGACAGCTGCCAGCCAACAGGCCAGGCACCAGCATGTCCCTGGTTCTGAGATCCATCGGGAACAAGGGCTGTGTTAGAAAGCATCTCAGGAGGGGATTGCTTGGTCAGAGCAGCTAAGGCCTCACCCCGTCCCAGCCACCATGTGATCAGAGGAGGCCTAAGCACCCGCCTGAGATGCTTGCCCGTTTAAGGTCCAGCAGTGCGCCCCCTGCTGGAGTGGGTGAGTGTTGCCCCGCTGCCTCACCAGAGCCCACTGCCCAGCTAGTCTGGTTTTGAGCCCTCTATGGTGTTCACCAGGCAGAGTTAAAGGTGGCGCTGAGACCTTAAAGTCACGGTGCCACGGGCTGAGGCCCGGCTTAGCCAGCCTCTCTGGGTCAGGGGCACTGTGGAACTCTCCTGCCGACTCTCGGTGCCCTGAGAGCCAGCCCGATGCCCAAGCCAGAGTGCTCTGCTCCTTCTCTCCGGCTCCCAAGTAGGGGGCAGGCACTGCACATTCAGAGACAGCCTCACGAGAGACCTAGGAGGCCCAGCCTCGTCACTCTTGGACACAGCTGCCCCAGAGCGATGCTCAGAAGAACAGTGGACGCATTCGTGCTGCCCTGGAGCCTGCTGTGAAACGGGGACTCCGCCGGGGCCCGTGCTGTCCAGCAAACCTGGGCTCCAGCCTCCCTGGGATCTGTGGCTCTTGACCCTCAGCTTCCTGGAGGCTCCAGCCGCTCAGAAATAAGCCGTTTCAGAGAGACCAGGCTGCACCGAGCCCAGGTGAGAGACACTTCTGCCCAGAAGGGCCCAGGCCATGTCCCGAAGGTCATGCAGGTCCCTGAAATGTCACCTGGGAAGATGCATCACAAGTCACATTAACTGGACCATGTGACAGCCTGTGGGACCCTGGGGAGATGTCAGGCCCTGTCGGCCATTCTTTCCTGCTGTGGAGACCGCAGTACCCAAGGCCGAGGGGCCACCGCCACACAGGAAGGTCCAGGATGGTGAGATGTCAGTTCTGAAACATGGGTGCCCCCCGGACCAGTGACCAGTGACTTCCCTCTGCTGCTAGCCCTGCCGGTCATCCCTTAAGAGGACGAGATCATTTCATCCTCTCAGGCTGGGAATGTGAGACCCTTCTGACACCAGTTGGCCTGAGACCATTTTGTGGATTTAACCGTCATTGGTGCTCTACAGGTAAAGTAAGAGGCTAACGCAATGGGGGACAACAGGCGAGGTCTCCACGAAGACATGCTGTCCTCGAAGCCCGGGACCATCCCCCAGAGACCCTGGACCCCCTTGTTCCCCTTCAGCCATCTGTCTCCACCTTGCAAATGATAGCAGAGTTTCTTTCTAATAAACTTGGATTTACAGTTTTTCCCTGTCAGCTGCCTTCTTTTTGTTGGGTCACCCCAGGGTCACTGATGTTGGGGACCGTCTTGAGGTCATGGGCTGAAAGGCACCAGATCCTCCAGGCTGCAGCGGGTTGGGGGGCTCCAGATGGGTCACACGTTGAGGTCATGGTCAGCACTGCCCCTCGCCTGAGTTCTTGTGTGTGGGCCCTGCTGGACTCTGGGAGGGTGAGCTGTGAGGGGCTGGGGCTCGAGGTGGCTGGCTGCTGGGACCCAGGGAGCTGGCGGTCTGTGGGGACATCCCTCCACCCAGGGCTCTGACAGAACTGTGCAAATGAGCGTCACTTGGAGCCATGGCTCCAAGGTTGTCAGTCGTGTTAACAGACACTTGTCCCATTGAGCCAGCAGCGTTAAAGTGCCTTGCAACCTGGGAAGCATAAAGCTGTCCGCCTTCCCTTTCCCCATCTAGGGCCACCTGGGCGCTGACCCAGAGCCCATTGGGCCCCAATCCGTGTCCCTGTCATGTAGAGCACTCCATCTGAGGCCTGCAGGGACCTGGTGACCGCAGACCTCCCGTATCCGTCCCTGGCCATTGGGCCTTCCCATCCCTACCCACCCCGGAGAGAAGCAACGGCCACCAGCACACTAACCACTCTTGTTGTTCTGTTTATACGCACGTACGTACCCTTGCGACTAACTAGTAACCTGTAACTATGGAAACGGGGGCTGCCAGCACAGCTGCGAGGACACAGACACGGGCCCCATGTGCGGGTGCCACCAGAAGTACGCCCTCCACTCGGACGGCCGGACGTGCATCGGTGAGTAGGCGCTGGGCGGCCTGCGGCTGCAGCTGCCCGCCCACCCGGTTTCCCCAGTAGGGGGCTGCAGGGAACCCAGGAAGGCCCTGCAGGGGAGATGGCCTTAGCAGCTGTCCCCACCGGCAGCACCTGTGGAGCTCTCTCCTGGTCCCGGGGGGCCAGCTTCCTCCTGGGTCCTGCTGTCCCCAGCCTCCATGCGGGTAGGTGGCCCGGGGGAGGAGGAAGGCGGGGGCCTCGGAAGCAGTGGTCTGCAAAGCTCCAGTGTTTCCCGGCATGGAAAACACTGGACCAGATTCATGTAATCTGCATCCCCTGAGTTCCGTGGGTGCCCTGGCAGCCTGGCACACCCAGGGCCCCTCAGAACATGCTGCGAGCGGCAGGTGGCACTTCCTGGGTGCGGTGTGGTGCTTTGAGCTGCTTCGTGCGGAGCTGAAGGACTTCTTGGCCACCTGAAGTCCCTTCTGAGCGACCCTCTCCCTCCTCACCTCACCTGCTACATGGAGTCCTCCTCCGGGCTCAGATTTCCAAGGGGAGGCGGGAAGCATTGTGGTTCTTTCATGCTATAATCACTAGTAGATTTTTTTCCTCTCCCATTCCAAAATAACAGCAATTTTCTTTTTTTCACTGAAAAAAAGAGCAATTTCAGAGCTAGTGCCCAGTCTGCCCTCTTGTTTCTCTTCCACACTGCCATGTTAGGCATCCCGGGAGTCAGGGATCACGGCCGTTTCTTCTTCAAGGCCCCAGTTCACCTGGGATGTAGCTCAGTGGCACAACCGTTGCCTGCCTGGAGGGCACAAGGTCCTGAGTTCAATTCCCAGTGCCCAAAAATAAAAAGGCCCTGTTTCTTTTGCCAACCAGGAGGCATCTCCTGAGGGTCTTTGATGTGACAGAGAGGGGTTGGTGAGCAGGCGCGGGCACACGAGGCCCAGAGTTGCTGTCACGTTCCGCCCCCTGGGGCTGCGCCCTCGTGGCTGGGGAGCGGGGTGCCAGGGCTGTGCCCCTCCACCACCAGCACCCCCGCGGTCCGGGGCTGTCCTCACGGGGTGCTGCTGCCTGCGGTGGCTGGTGGCTGTCCCCTTCCTCTGTGTGGTCTCTTCTCTCAGACAGCCTTTTTTTAAATTTCGTTTTATCTCATGCCTCCTGCTTTTCTGGTGACGGTCCCTGATTGCCTGTCTCGTCTGAAAACTGACACTCATTCATTATTTTCAGAGCCAAAAGCCAAAACCAAACCAACAGATCAAAAAAAACAAAGCAGTTAAAAGTCAAACGGGGCCTCAGACCAGTGCCTCCATTGCAGCCTGATCCCATCTCGAACCCCTCGTCCCTGGCCTCTGTCCCTCCGCTGGCCTGTCCGCCTCTCCCAGCCACCCCGGCCTGCCTGTCTTCGTCTGCTCTGGGCCTCCGGGGTTTGCGGTGCAAACCTCCCAGCCTGTGTCTAACCCCCCGTGTCTGTGTCCTCCGACTCACCCTGCCTCAGTTTTTTTGTTTTTATTATTTATTTTTCAACATTTGCTGCATGTGACAGTCCCCGCTCGGATCTGCTTCCAGATCCCAGGCCGCTTTCTCTCCTCTCCGTAGAAACCATTTTCCTCCCAGCCCCGCTTTCTTCTGACTCCGCTCACCTCCACCAGCGTCCCCAGGGGAGCAGGGTCCCTCTGCACTGGCCGCCCAGCAGATGCCCCACCCGCTGACCTCACAGGCCCACTCCCCCGCACGCTCCTGGAAGCCCCGTGCCCCTGGCAGCACCTGAATGTGTGCTCCAGTGCCCGAGACAAGCAGGCAAACAGTGCTGCCCTAACCGACCCCGGGTCTCCTGTCTGTTCCGTGGGCCCACTGTCGTGTGCACGTGTGTCTTCCTGTGTGAGCCGCGTTCTTAATTTTGCATGAACAACACACTGTCCGTCTGTCCTTGCATCCCTGGGATGGGGCACCTGCCGTCCCAGGCGCGTCCATCCCCGGACCTTGTGGCTCTGCTCCCTTGTCCTGTGCCTCATCCCGTGCCTACCTCTGCAGCCCAAGCCACGGAGTCTGTGACTGCTGTGCCCGTCTGTGACAAGGCCGAGCTGCCTGCTTGTGTGGCCTCCCACTGCCCTCCCCCTCCTCCATCTGTCTGCACAGGGGCGCTGCGTCCCTCCGTGCCCCGGGTCGTGTGTGTGTGTGGTCACCCCGCTGTCCCGCACGCCCGCCCCGCCCGCGCTGCCTCTGCTTTGCCCTGGAGGTTCCTGGGAGCAGCCCCGGGCGAGGACGCCGTGCTGGCCTGCATGGCTCCCTGCCCGCCTCGCCGGGAGAGGCTGGCTGCTGGGCCGCGGGGAGCGGGCTCTCATTAACCACCGGCTCCGTGTTTGTCCCTTACTTGTGTTTTAGAGAAGGATGAGGCTGCAATTGAGCGCCCTCAGTTCAATGCCACGTCAGTAGCTGATGTGGACACGCGGGTGAAACGGCGTCTCCTCATGGGTAACGCTTCTCTTCCACTTCCTTTGTCCTGCTTGCCCGTGTGTGTGTGTGTGTGTGTGTGTGTGTGTGTGTGTGTGTGAGTATGTGTGTGTGTGATTGCACGCATGCTGGTGTGAGCGTGTGGCTGGCCTGAGCAGGTGGCCGTGTGTCGGCATGGTGTGTGTCTGCGTGTGTGCCCTGTCACACTTGTGTGTGTGAGTGCGGGGGGCTCCGCTGCCAGTGGGAACTCACTTTTTACTTTTTGAAGTTTTAACCTCCGTCCAACGCGTGTGGGCCTTTGTTTGTGTGTTTGTAGCACAGATGCCAGCGCCTCTGTCTCGTGGCCTGGGCCTCGGTGGGAAGGGGCTCTGGGGGGCATCCTTCTGTCTCCTCCCACAGCAGGGACCCCTCACTGGGACCTCCAGACAGGGCTGCCCCTGGGCCGGCGGGGAGAAACACTGCTCTCAGACGGGTGCGAGTGTAGACCAGAAAGCCTCCTCTGCGCCTTCCTCTGCCCCTCAGTGCTTCCACAGCAGTGGGGTCACCGGCTGCAGGGCCCCCAGAGCACAGCGGCAGCCTCCGGGCATCACCGTGTGGCCTGCTCGGTGGCGCTCTGATGGCTCGTGGGGGTCCAGCGGCTGTGGGCTTGGTTTGACCCCTTCTCAGAGGGAGGGATGGGTGCTCCCTGGTGCCCTGGCTGCCCAGGACCACAAGGCCGCTCCACAGTGCTGAGCTCAGCCCCAAGAGCCCGGCCATGTGGGTCATCATCAGTGTCAGGTCGCAGGTCCCTGAGAGGTCACCTGGTTTCCTGGTTCCCATGTGGCCTCCCAGGGCCCAGGCATCATAGCAGAGGCAGGAAAAGGGCCAAAGGGCCGCAGCGGGGGATGCAGCCCTGTGCTGGCGAGGAGGCTAATGCCTGGCCTGGGGCTTGGTAAACCCTCGAGCACGTGCTGAGAGGACAGGTGCCACCCGCTTCTCAGAGGGCAGCACTGGGCCAGCATTCCGGATGCACGTACCTGGGCACATGCCTAGGTGGGCAAAGCCTGCTGCTCACACCCTGGATGGTACTAATGGAAGTGGCGGGCGGGAGGGGAGGGACTTTGAGGCTCATCCCAGGCCCCAGCCCTGACTGGAGCTAGGAGCCAGCACAATAGACACCCTAGGAAGGTGGCCGGAGGGGGAGGTGGGCGGCTCCTCCCCTAGAGAACTCAGCTCACAGCCTCCCTTAGTAGGACTGATGGTCGGGGGACAGGGGCTTCCTGTCCCAGGCAGGGACTGAGCGCTAAGTGACCCCATAACCGCCCGATTCCTCTCCCATTGGGCCTCCCTGCAGCTCTTGGGACCAGCAGCCTAGGTCTCTCCCCGGGCCAGGGACATGGCCTCAGGGCCACCAGGGAAGCGGGCCTTCGGGTCCTTGTGGTAAAGTAGACTTTGGCTTTACCTGGTAGCCCCAGGAAGGCTCGGTGGCCCCCGGCTGTGTTAGCAGAGATGAGAAGGTGACCTCCCTATCCTACCCTGCGCTGCTCAGAGCAGAGCAGGCACCGGGCTGAGGTCCAGGCCTGCAGGGAGAGCTGTGGAGACGGCAAAGGGAATGGGCTGGGGACAGGGAGCCCAGCAGGTTTCTCTGGGACACCTGGGGCCTGCAGGGAGCCAGCACCCCGTTTGGGTCCTGTGGTGAGAGAGAGGTGGGACAGACAGACAGGGAGGCAGACACACTGAGGGCAGATCCTGGGCCACCTGGCCCCACAGGTCACACCCACAACCTCCCCCATGAGGACCATCTCTCCCCTGCGTCGAGGGGGCAGTTTGTAGCCTTGGCAGGAAGTCAGCAGAGGAGAGAGCTCAGGCCGAGGGCAGATTGAGACCTCTGGGCGCCCACCCCGCCCTGCCTTGCACACTGCACAGGCCACTTGTCCTGTGGGCCCAGCATGAAACCTCTCCCCACAATGTCCAGGGCCACATGCTGCTGCCTGCCCTGTCTCACCAGGACACTGAGGCGTCAGGGCTACCGGGGCTGTGGCTCTGAGACACTGTCCTTGCCATCCACAGGGGCCAGAAAGAGAAACCCTCCAGGAGTCGAGGGGCGCTGGCCCTCAACCAGGTGGCCGTGCCCCTGCGGGGTCCTCGATGGCACCCACCTCAGGGTGCAGGTCAGGTGTCCTCCAGCAGGACTGGGGAGTGGCGGAGTCACTCGCCAGCCCTGGGACCTCATCAGGTCCCTCCCCCAGGAGCATCCTCAGGGTGCACTGTCCCCTGTGGCTGCCATAAACGTTTATGCCACCTCCATGCCTCAGAGCCACACAGCTTGCTGTAGGTGGCAGCTCACAATGTGACACAGGGTCCCCCGCTGACATCCTGGTGCCAGCGGGCTCTGTCCCCACTCAGGCTGTAGGGGACAGGCCCTTCCTCGCCTTGCTGCTTCCTGCTCTGGAGGCCGCCACCCGGCTTGGCCTGCAGCCCTTTCCTTCAGAGCCAGCAGCCTGGCCACTCGGAGCCTCCCCCAAGGTCACAGCCCTTTCCCCACCCCTGCCTCCCTCTTTCACTCTTAAGGACCCTCATGAGCCTTCACTGGGCAGACCTCAGCCCACGGCCCTCGGCTCACCCACCACAGTCTTGCCATGCAGGGCCCGGGCTCCGCGATTAGCACAGGGGCACTTTAAGGAGTCACAGTAATCGAGGGTTCTGCCCAGGTGAGGAGAGACCACGTGTCCACTGACCCTCCCAGGGACCCGGATGGGCCATGCTGGCCAGGGTGGGTGTCCCTCTTTCCTGGGCACCCAAATTCTGCAGCCCCCTCTGCCTAGCTCTGCCCGGGTAGGGGCTCAGGACATCATCAAGAGCCTCCTCTCCCCCAGCCTCGAGAGGCAGTCATGCCCCTTTGCAGAGGCCACATAGTCAGCCAGCCGCAGCCTGGACCGAGGGCAGGCCCTGGAATTCCGTACCCCACCCCACCCCCAGGGCTAGCGGATGGCACCTGGGATGGGTGTACAGTGTGGGCTGCAGCACGGAGGAAGCACGCGGGGCCAGCTGTCGGCCAGCTGTGGGACCTTGCTGTATCTCTCCTGAGCCTCTGGAGCACGGGCATGAAGATCGCACCCCAGCCCCTGCCAAGGGTCGGCTCAAGGGGGGCTACTTGTCAGCCCCTGTCTGCCACAACACCTTTGTGCCCAGAGTAGGGACCAGACTCAGGGGCAGGGAAGTTGTGCCCCTGCTGGCCCTGCTCCTGCCCCCTGCTCTAATGTAAAACCTCCGCTGTCCTTCAGAGACCTGCAAGCCCAGCCTCTCCTGAGGTTGGTCTCTGCTGTCACCCCCACCCCTCAGGCCGCCTTCTACCCCTCTGGCCACCGACATGCCAAGAGTGGTCCCCAGGTCCGGGCATCTCTCCAGGCAGCAGTCTGAGCTCTCACAGGCACGTGACTGACATTTAGCATGCAGAGAACTCTGAGCAGGGCGGTCCTGGGGTGACAGAGGCCCGCAGGTACAGTGCCTGGGCTGCATGCAGCCAAGCAGAGTCCAGGAAGCACCCGGGGACCCTTGAACCCCATCCTCCACAGCCTCCCACCTCTGGAAGTTGGCGGTCAGTGTGGGCATTGGCCCAGCTGGGGACACAGCCCAGTGGCAGCATGGGTAGGGCCAGGGAGTGGGCACTTGGCAGATGGATCAGGTCCCCGTCTCTGCTCCCTGCTGAGGGACAGCCTAGGGGGACTGTCCATGTGTCCTGCACTCAATACTAATGGCAGGGCTGGAGTTCAGGAAAGAGGAGACCAGGGCCACCGTGTAAGGACCATGGCAGGCAGAGTGGCCTTTGTCCCAATACTGGGAGCCAGGGAAGGGTCAGCAGCCAGCAGGTGAGCAGAGTCAGCAGTCAGGCTTCACAGCTGGCCGCACTGGCTCAAGGGTGAGCAACAGATGCCAGCCTCAAGCTGGGCCTTGGAGTCCAGCACACAGGGACAGAGCACGCAGGACCCACCACTTCTGGTGAGCCCAGGGAGGCCCAGGCACGCTGCATGCAGGTGGGAAGCCCAAGGCCAGCCTGGACAGTTGTTTCCCCATTGTCCCCTGGTGCCTTGGAGCAAAACCTGGCTCACTGGCCCTGGCCCATGGCCCACTCTCACCTAGAGTGACCGCAGAGCCCCCAGCAGGGCCACACAGGAAGGGTGTGCTGCACACTGTCACCCCCACGTGACCCATCAGGACCCCAAGACCCCAGGAAGGGAGGCGCTTGTCCAGACACACACAGCTGGTGCCCAGAGCCTGGTTATCTGACTCGGAGTTCGTGCTCCATCTCTGCAGGGACTGAGCCCCCTCCAGGGCCCGAGGGAGCCCAGGCAGTGCCTGCAGGCAGCGTCCTGTCCCCACCCTAGCCCCGGGACATGAGGCACAGTGGAGCATCCTGCCACGGGCTTCCTGGCCTGGGACTTTCCCCTTCCCCCTTAGAGCCCGGCCAGCCCCAGGCCAGCCTTCAGCCTGTCACCCAAGTGTACTCCTTGGGCCACCCTGGCTCAAGCCCCAAGTCTCCAGCCTGGTCCGGCTCACTCATCAGCTTGGAGAGTCAGCCGCAAGCCAGCCCTCCCTGTAGCAGAGTGACCCAGACACAGGCCACTTCTCCAGTGCTGGCCCTGGACAGTCACCAAATTCCTCACCCATCAGGCCATCAGTGCTGCCTGGCCGTGTCACTCTGTTTCTCTGAGCCCCAGGTCCCCCCTGCAGAAGTGTCCCCTCTGAGGTTAGCAGGTGAGGTGGGGCTGTGCCAGCAGGCAGGCCATGCTGCAGGGGGAGAGGAAACCTTTTAGGAGGAGCCCTGGGAGCGCTTACCCGGAGATGGGGTACAAAGAGAGAGCTGAGACTCTCAAAGTATAAAAGGATCCTCGGGTTCAGCTCTGCCCAATTCCCCTTTCCAGCTCTGGGGCCGCAGTTCTGGTAGCTGGATCCACGCATGGATGGGCTTGGCCGTCCTGGCAATCGCAGGGGACCTCATGCTTTGGGAGGAACCTTGGTCTCCCAGCCCCAGCCCATTCTTGGGCCCTGTGATGGACTGGGGCTGGGACCCAGCGAAGGCCACAGTGTGAGGAGGCAGGACCGGCCCCCTCTGCTCCTTGCAGGTGACCTGGGACTGAAGCACCACCGCACAGGAGCCCGGGAATGTTTTTTGAGTCTCTCTGAGACTGGTGATCTGACCGTCAGTGTGTGGCCACTGGTCTTGGGGGACAGGATAGTGAGGCTGCTTTCTCAAGCTTTCCGAGATGGAAGCCAGGCAGTGCCCTGTGCTAATGGCCCCCTGGGCGGCACCTAGGACCCCACCCTGGCCACCTGTCCTGTGCATGCATTGCTCTGTGTGTCTAGGCCACTTGTCTGCCACCTGGGGACCAACACAGCTTGGGTGGGTCTGACGGGAAGCACCCTCCCTCCTGGCATGGTAGAGAAGGTGCTGGAACCTGGGCAAGGCACAGCCTGCCACGGTCCAGCAGGAGGGCTGAGCACAGGCCAGGTGCCCACTGCCCCCTCCACCCACACCTCCCTGCCCAGCACCAGCCCCGGAATGAGAAGCCCAAAGACATTCAGAGATGATCAGGAGGCTGAGGCAGGGAGCAGCAATGAATGAGAGCAGGATCTGAAGTCAGGCCACGTTAAGGAAGACACAGACCAGTCCCTGCAGAGGTGGCGGAGGGGCCCTGGGATTCGGGGGTGCAGGTGCAGTGGGACCTGTGTGGGGCTGCATGGAGTCCTGGAGCTGGGGCTGGCTGGAGACGGAGGTTAAAGGCTGTCAGGGGCTCCTGACCTCAGGGAGCTGGGGAATTAGGCACAAACCTATCAGGTCCGTCCAGCACTGCTGCCACCTGTTCCTTCAGGCTCCTTGTCAAGCAGCTGAGGTGCTGTCAAGCCCAGGTGCTGTGAGGGCAGACGCATGAGGCGTGGGAGGGACATAGGTGACCACTGCAGTGTGTTGACTGTAGGGCAGGGCTCAGCAGTCAGAAACAGCCCACAGGGCCCTGCCTGCGTTCTGCAGGGTTCACGGCTCCTGGCCCCAGGCTGGAAGCTTAAGCATTGACCCCTGTCTGGGGTGGCACAGGGAGGCTTAAAGCTACAGGACGGACGGAGTGTCCAACATGGAGCTCAGAAAGGGGGTGACCACCCATGCCGATCCATAGTCCCTTCTCCTGGCCTCAGTCAGCTGAGATTCCCCAGGCCCCCTTAATGCTCTGGAGGGTCAGGTCCCAAGGCCACAGATGGCCATGAGCTGCGGGCTGCCAGGCCAATTCTCTGACACCAAGGAGAGGCCCAGGCACCCCTCTTCCCCAGCACCCCACCCTGCCTTTGAGCAGAATCACCCACACTTGGACACTACAGTCTCTGCTCTCTCCCAGAAAAGAGGCCGAAAGGGCTCCTGGGAAGCTAGTTCGTTGCCCCTGCTTGGGGTGCAAGGCAGAATCTCCCCATCTGGGAGCAGAAGCCGCCATTTGGAACCCAGCACCAGGCCTGGTGCTGTGGTGCTGTCATGTGGGGTTGTGTGACATTTGCCTTGGCCCAGGAAGAAAAGCGCATCCTGGCTTCCCAGGTGCAGAGGGGGAGGCAGCCCCAAGGGAGGTGCTGGAGGGGGACCGGAGGGTGAGAGCAGGGCAGAGCGGCCCAGCTGCAGAGCCCGGGGAAGCGCAGGCACCTCCAGGAGGATGGGAAGGCGGGAGGCTGAGAGCCAGACTAGGGAGGGTCAGGGAGAAGGAGTCACCTTTTAGGGCGACCCCAGCTCTGCCCTTCTTGGCATCCGTCAGAAAGGGAGGCTGCGTTTCCTCTCCCCCACCCACCCCGTACCCCTTCTCCAAGGTGAAGTTCACAGGAAAGGCATGGATTTGATCTGACTGCCAGCCCTTGCAAACCCCCATTTCTGAGCTCTTCACAGAGGGAGCCCGGAGTGGGCAGCCAGGGGGAAGCAGCAGGGAATTCGGGGTGTGGGAAACAGGCTCTGGCGCCGTTCTGCCCCCAGCAGTGAAGGCAGGGGAGGCCCGGCCAGCAGCCTTTGCCCACCAGGTGCTCAGGCAGAAACCCAGGTGTCGGGGACTGGGGGAGGGGGGACAGCGGCTTCCCCTGGGCCAGGCCGGCCTGCAAGCCAGCCAGGCAACCCACTGCAGGCCTGCAGAGCATCACCGGCACCATGCGACGGCCACGGTGACCTCGCTTGTGCCCCCAGCCTCTCGGCTCCTTTGAATTCTGCAGAAGGGAAAAGGCACTAGACAGCCTCCCAACAGACAGAAACCAGATGCCGCTGGCGCACAGGTCAGCGAGAACAGATGTGAGGCCGAGGGCCTGGCGAGGTGACGGACGGGGAGCAGCTCCAGAGACCCCCTGCTCCGCAGGCTGCCAGGGCCCAGAGCCGCTCCATGGCGGGATGAGGCGGGAGCCCCGGCTGCTGCCTGCAACCAGCCATTGCTCTTGGAGCCAGAGTCCAGGCAGGGCGATCGGGGCCTGAGCAGTCAGATCCTAGGGCAGACCCTCTCACAGGCCCCGAATGGTGATCCTGAGCCCAGGGGCATGACCTCAGCCCAGGCGTTGGCCTCTACCGCTTGCACACGGCTGCTCAGCACACTGAGCCTCCCTGCAATTCAGGGGTGCTGCGCCACGCTGCCCTGTGTCCAGGGCAGACCCTGGGCTCAGAGAAGCTGCGTAGTGGCCCTGGAGTCCCGCAGCAAGATGGTCAGAGCCAGAACGGGCACAGGATCTCTGTGTCCTAGGCCGTCTCCCGCGGATGGGGAAAGATGTGGCCTCTGCCCTGAGAGACTGAGCCCTGTCTCTTTCCCTCCCCAGAGACATGCGCAGTAAATAACGGAGGCTGTGACCGGACGTGCAAGGACACGGCCACTGGCGTGCGATGCAGCTGCCCCATCGGATTCACGCTGCAGCCAGATGGGAAGACGTGCAAAGGTCAGCACAGGGGCCACGCTGCTGCGTCCCGGCCTGGCCCCAGCCGGTCCCCACCCTACCCACACCATCCGCCTCCGAGGCCACACAGCTGGGCCCAGCTGCTGGGTTGGGTGGGGGACGGCACTCGGAGGTCAGGAGCGGGGAGGGTCCCTCGCAGGGCTCCAGGAAATGCTGGTTCTAAGGCACAGCATTCAGTTCCTGGGCCTAAAAGATTCTGATGTCTAAGAGTTTGGCTGCCCAACAGGTGAACAGTTAGGCATCTCCGTGGGCCGGATTTCCTGGGCTGTCAGCTCCCCAGGGGCGCTGGGCTGGTGAGAGGTGCATGTGTCACTGAATGCCATTATGCCCCGAAGTTTCAAGAGAGTCTCGGCAGAAGGAGTAAAGGGGCGGGAGAACCCCCATCTACCATAGAAAATAAGGGATCCCCGGAGGGAAAGAAGGGAGCGGGCGACGGAGGGAAGGGGCCAGGAGGGAGGGGCCCAGGGAGAGGAAGTGGGGGCTGCTTCCCACTGGAGTTTCTGGGTGCTCCTGGGATGATGGGCTGAGGGAGGCAGGGAACGAGCGCTGGCCGCAGAGCTGGCCGCGTGCAGGGCAGCGCTGGAGCTGGCCCGGGCCTCTGCCTAACCTTGGCCAGGCTAGAGCCTGGAAGGAACAAGGACCGGACCTGCCGAAGCCCAGTCAATGAATATATTGAAAACCAAGGTTTGGGGTGATTTAAAAATAGTTCGCCGCAGGCTGTGTTTAAGCCTGTAAAAGTACACAGCCACGGTCTCTCCTTCCTTGCCAGCTTGCTGGGGAAGAAGCCATGGGTGTTGACAAAAATACCGTCCTTCCAAAGCCTGTTTATTTGAAAATAAAACCCTCCAAGGCCACCGCTCTGCCCAAGAATAGCCCGATGTGTTCCTGGCAGGCACGTGGGCAGTCAGGAGCCCTGGCAAGGGGGCCTCACAGCCCCGTGATGTCACCCAGGGCCAGCCACTCACCACTGGGGGACCCAGGCCTCACCATAGCTCTGAGGGGGGCTGCCCCAGGCACAAGGGCAGTGCGGGGCTGAGGCCAGGGCAGTTTGGAGCCCAGAGCTCCCCACTTGGGCAGGAAAGGGCCTGGGTGTCCTGTGGACAGGCAGACGGGAAAGGGGCCCCTGCTGCTGCCTCTGCCCCCACCCCAAGTATCCGATGGGCACCCATTCCCCAGCTCGTTTCTGAGGTCTAAGAGACCCCTGGCCTGAGCCCCGGGTTGCTTCTTGAAACAACCAGGCCCTTCCACCAGGCCAGCCCTGCCCAGCCTCCAGCCAGCCCTCATCTGTGAACCTGGAGCCCAGCCAGGGGCTGAGCCACCCCAGGGGCTCTCACGCCCTCCTGTAAAGGGGCTTTGGTGCCTCCTCTGTGACTCAGATGACACTGTAGAGGCCAGGTAGAAGGTGAGAAAATGGAGTGGAGATCTCTGTCTCTCCACGGGTGCGAGAACCAGAGGTTCTCGGGCCACTGAGGGCTGCTTACTACCCTCCAGAACCGGGTCCCCAGCTCTGGCTGGAGAGGCACCCCCAGGGCTGGGGCCTTGGCCAGGGCAAGCCCGGCCGGGGATTTCCAGTGACCCAGAGCCCCAGCCCAGGAGTTGGTCTCCAGCAACGGCCCACGCTTCAAGCCTGCTGAGGCTCCAGACAGGATCAAAGGAGCCATTTCAAAGGTTTGGGGTTCTCTAGAAGCCAGAAAGTCACTGGCAGCAAAACGGGTGGCCAGAGGGGTAGGGGTAACAGAGTTTGGAAAACCCAGAGCCGGAAGCCCTGGGCAGCAGGACCGCAGGTGGGGGGTAGGCAGGAGAGACAGGTGGGTGTCTTTGCTAATTGCAGAGACTGGAGGGGTTCCGGAGTGTGGACTGGTGGGGTGTGGCCTCAGCTTCCTGTCTGGGGCTGCATCCTGTTTGCTGTGGGCAGGTGGACATCTTTCAGCAGGAGAGAGGTTTCCCAGGCTGGAGTCTGGATTTCCCTTAGGGACAGCACCCCATCCTGAAACACCCGGAAGAGGCCCCTGGGAGAGCCCCCACCCTGCCTCTGCCCAGGACCCCATTGTGGGCAGCCCACAAAGAGTCTTATCTGCATGGCGTGAAGGTGCCCTCACCTGTCCTCCACCTGGCCAGCCCCAGCCCTTTCCCCCTGCTGATGTCACAGAGTGGCCCCATACATACCATGCTCCTGGCCCTCCCTGGGCTCCTGCCCCGTACCCTCACCCACAGGGCACGGGGCTGCCACACTGTGCCCTGGCGGGGTGGCAGAGGAAGAGGCACAGTTGTTCTGTGTGTGCCGACAGCTCGCCCCATTCCCCAGCACCTGCACACACCTCCCCAGGGTAACGTTCAAGCATCGCCTCCGTGGCTTCCTCCTCTCGGCCCTGGGGTCCCTTTCATGGACTGGGGTCACCCGTCTTGTCTTTCTGTCTGTTACTCCTGCACACTCTTGCTGGGTCCTGGGGTACCTCTGTGGTCCCCGAGGCCCTCTGAGACTAGTCAAAAAGGGTTCCCAGAGGGGAGCCCCCCACAGTGGCAGGGTGGCCGCTGCTAGAGGCTGAGCAGGGGAGGGTGGGATGGCAGAGCCCAGGCTGCGAGCTTTGATCCTGGGAGCCACCTGCCGGCAGGTGGGGGTCACCGTGGATTTGCTGTGGCCGGTGATGCTGGCTGCCCGTGGAGGGTGGGTGGGACATGATGGAGAGGGTACACAAGCAGAGCAGAAGTGGCACCCAAGGGGCTCACGGGAGGTGGAAGGGCCATGTGTCCCTGGTTGCTATCAGGTGGGGGAAGGAGACCTCAGCATTCCTGGGGCTGAGGACACCTCGGGGCGGCCCCTGCCTGCTTAGTGCCTCTCTAGCCTCCCTAGGGAAGACGCTGGCTGGCAGCTCAGTGTGCAGGAGCTCTGGGCCTCAAAGTCCTCAGGGTCCCGGGCCCTGCCTGAGGTCACCCAGGCGGTGAGGCTGTAGGATGGCACCCCCTCTCCCACTTGCAGCTTCTAGCTAGAAACATCCCAGGGCTGGGGCGGGAGGAACCTGGCCATGCCGAGCTCTCCCTGGACCTGGCCGCAGTGGCCTTTGTGCTTCCCTGATGGCCTCAGGGCCAGTGTAGGGTGCTGGGCAGATACTATCTGAAGTCTGCTCTTACGCTTGGCCCTGTGACTCAGTCTGTGACACAGAGCTCCCGAGAGACCCTGAGGGAGGCCTTGACACCACAACCTAAAAACCCCCGGAGGCCAGGGAGGTAGGTCGCTCACCCTGGGTGTCACACGGTCCCCTGACCAACGCAGCTAGCATCTAGATGTGCCTAGGTTGGGTGGGAAGACACTGCACAGGACAGTGCTTCAGCACATTGGGGCCACCATCACGCCTCCTGTTGGGCCTGGGACAAAGCAGTGAGTGGCTGGCAGAGGTCAGAGTCACCAGCGTAGGGCCAGTGGCTCAGCTTCCGACCAACGGGGAAGCAGGCTGGGGAGCCAGCTCGGGCCAGATCTGCGCGCAGAGCAGCAGGGAGGAGGCCTCTGGTCTCCCCTCACTTCCTGTTCACGCCTCCCAAGCAGGCCTGGCCCATCCTGAATGTCACCTCTCAGTTGCATGGGGTCCTGCAGGGTTTTATCTGCAGAGGCTGCCAGGTCCCAAGAGAGCTTCCCATCCCTGGGAACAGGGCCTCAGATGCCACAAGTGCCAGGCTGGCCTGGGGGCCAGAGGAGCAGGAAGAGGGAGTCACAGGGTCCCGCTGTGAGAGAGGAACCTCCCGGCCATCACTGTGGGTGATCAGGAATTGGGCCAAGGGAGTGTCAGGGTCCAGCTGCCCCTTGTTCCTTGCTGATTGTAGAAACAGCCAGGGCAGGAGGGACTGGGGGCAAGGCGGTGGCCAGTTGGTTGGGCTGAGACTTCCTGAACCAGGTCCTTTACCTCTCTGGGCCTCAGTTTCCTTATCTAACAGGCAATGAGAGCTGCTTTCTAATAGGTGGACTGAGGGCTGACCAAGCACCAGCACCCCAGTAACCCAGGTGATGCCCTGCATGACGAGGACGCTTCTCACTCATTTTGGGAGTGGACAGTAGTTGATCCCCAGTGGCCCCTGCTCCAGCCTCTCTGCCTGGAGGCTGCCTCCTGGGGGAGGCCACTGTCCCCCACTGTCCAGCCTGATATACGGGGTATCAGTGCCCCAGCCCTCCAACCCCTCGAGCCAGGCCCCAGCCCTGTGCTCAGCTGAGGACCCCGGGCCCTGAGTGACAGGGGAGTCAGGCAGAGCAGGAGGGGAGGACGGTGGCGGCGCCCCACCCAGTACCGAGCTCACGCCGTCGCCCCGCCCCCACCCCACCCCTGCAGACATCAACGAGTGCCAGGTGAACACCGGAGGCTGCGACCACTTCTGCCGGAACACCGTGGGCAGCTTCGAGTGCAGCTGCCGCAAGGGCTACAAGCTGCTGACGGATGAGCGCACGTGTCAAGGTGAGCCCCGCGGGCCTGGGGTCCCTGCAGGGTCCAGGGCCCTTCCGGTAGGAGAGGAGGTGAGCAGGTGGGTGCAACGGGCCCTGCAGGAATGTGCTTCTCCCACGTACCATGCGCTCCTGCCTTCTTGTCCTGTATCTGCACTAGGAGCTGCCTAGCGCAACCTGACCGCTAGTAGGTAGGAAACAGCCCCAGGGAACCATCCACCGGCCCCGCCCCTCTTCCCCGGCCTGCAGTGCCCAGACGGCTCCGGCCCCGAGGAGCGTGCTGCCACCTGGCGGATGGCTTTGCACACCACAAGCGCCTCTGACAGTCCCTTAGGGTCCCCGGCAGCCTGCTGGAAGCCAGGATGGTGGGAGCAGGGGGCTGGGCACAGGCCGGGAATCCCAGCCCAGGAGAAGCCCAGCAGCTGGCGTGAGGCCGCAGAGGCCTCGAGGATGGCCTGTGGGGAGGGGTTAAGAGGCGGCGGCACCGTCCCTCAGGACGAGGGCCCGGGGAGGGGCTCCATTTCCCCACAGACTACCGGGGTGCCCTCTGCTGGTTCTGTTCCATGGGGTTCCCGTAATTACAGCCGCGCCTGACGGCGGGACCCGCAGCTCAGAGGCCCCTTGTGTCCCCACTCCGTGGCTCCCTTTGGGCCCCCGGGGGAGTCCCAGTTGCCCTGCATGCGCAGTGTTACAGTGACAGGGCGGAGTCTGCTCTGCGCTAAGCTCTGCACCCTGCTCGTCTCCGGGAAAGGCGTGAGGTGGCTTCTGGTCCGGGTGCAGAGTTAGTGGGGAACGCAAATACGGGGGGCGTGACGTCTGCTGTGCGTTGGCTCTGTCCCGAGCCTCAGGCCCCGAGTCTGTCCACCCCGAGGGTGCCTGGGAGCGAGTGACAGGCTGTGCCAGCCGCTGCGCCCTGGAACCCCTCTCGGACTCTGTCCCCTGCGGCCCCGCAGACATCGATGAGTGCTCCTTCGAGCGGACCTGCGACCACGTCTGCATCAACTCCCCCGGGAGCTTCCAGTGCCTGTGTCACCGCGGCTACACGCTCTACGGGACGACCCACTGCGGAGGTCTGCAGCCCGCCCGCCAGGGCCACCTCCCCCTCGAGGCACGCGCCCGGCCGCACGGCCACCTGCACTGCACCCCACACCCCAATCCTGACCTCCACAGGCTGGGGGGCTGGGAGGGACCTCAGCAAGGCGGAAGGCGGAGCCAGAACAGAGTAGACTGAGCAGGACCGGGAGGAGGGGGCTCAAGCTGCGCCCCGGCTTGGGGACACCAGAAGCTCCAGGCGGTGGTGGCTGGGAAGGGGAGGGCAGGGCCGCAGGTTGCTGGAGAAGGGCCCACGGGTCACAGTGGGGAAGGGCTCCAGGGGAACCTTCTGAGCACAGCTTGGGGTAAGGACGGGGGGGGGGGAGGAGGGGGGACAGATGGAGGCCACTATATTGCTGGAGCATGGGGGCCAGGGGATGCGGCAGAGATGCAGGCAGGACTGTCTCGGGGCTCCTGACCCCAGGAAGACTTGAGGTCTGTTCCGGCTCACTGAGGACCCTGTGGCAGCACCTGGGGATCCAGGGCAGTCATGGGGAGCCTTGGGAAGGGAGCTGCACCCTGGGGGGGGGGGGGAACAGAGCCCAGCTCAAGGGCTTGGTACTGTCCTCAATGTGCCCAGCTTAGGTGGGAACTGGCCCACCTCCTATCACCTCTACCACCCAGCCTGGCCACACACTGGCTCTGGGTGGGAGGTGGGCAGCGGTACTGGGGGCTCCTGCTCGTCGCTGCACTCTTCTGGGGAGACCCTCAGTCTGCCCACTTTCTGGCCAGTCTGGATGGTTCATGGCGCCCCAAGTGTCTGATGTCCATCCAGAGATCGGTGGGGCTCCTGGCCAGAAGGACTCAGAGGTGGCTCTGTTCACACTAGCAGCTACGTACAGGAGGGGACAATGAGGCTGGGAAGGGCTTGTGTGGAGTCTGCAGTCAGGCCCAGGGGCCCAGGCCTGGGCCACCTCCCCTGGGCTGGGGCTCCTGCTCCACGTCGGACAGAAAACTGCCTGGGTTCCTTGGAGAAGGGGTGCATTTGGAGTCTGAGGCGCTTTGCACCCCATGGTGTCAGGCTGGAGTCCCCCGCGCTCCCCAGCCCTGCCAAGCCCTGGGTGTGGGTCCAGCCTCCCTCCCGCCCTCACTCGAGCCTCTGCTTCCAGACGTGGACGAATGCAGCATAAGCAATGGGCACTGTGACCAGGGCTGCGTCAACACCAAGGGCAGCTACGAGTGCGTGTGCCCGCCGGGCAGGCGGCTGCACTGGAACCGGAAGGACTGCGTGGGTGAGTGGGGGCGGGGCTGGTGGGGGGGGCACGGGGCTGGCACCGCCCCTTCCAGGACAGGTGGGGCGGTGACTTCTCAAGTGTAGGCCATGGTCCACGGGCAGTACCAAAATACCCTGCTCTGTCTTTCTGGAACCGAGGCTTGGAGGGAGCAAATGGAGGTCCTGTCTCCCCCAGAGCTCCTCCTGCGGCAGGGGGCGCTGCGAGAAACAGGAGTGGGAGCACAGGGTACAACGGCTGCAGCATCTGAGCCCCAAAGGGAGCGGGATGTCCGCCCCACAGTGAGGGCCCCAGTGTCTGAGAGATCGAGGAGGAGGAGGAGGAGGGCTTGAGCGCCTTCCAGGCCACGCCCCCAGGACTCCCCCTCCCCCCACACTTCACCTCCCGCCCTCCCGCCCTCCCCGTTAGCTCTGGGCTCATCTGTGGCTAACCCAATCCACAGGATCCCATGACCCAGTCACCGCCCAACACCCCACCTCTGAGCGCACAAGGCTTGGGGGGGCATCCGGATATAAACCAGAGCAGAAGTTCTCTAAAAGGTTCAGACTTCAATGATGATTTCCTTCCCAGTTCCAGAAAGTTCATAGCTGGTCTTCCAAAAGCACGGGCAGTGAGGGCTGTGGCCCTGCCGAGTGCGGTGTGAATCACTCTGCTATAAACCGTGTCTGCATATCCTGCAAGGACGATGCTGGGGCACCCCAAGTGAGGAACGTAAAATCTAACAGCCTCTGAGAGTAGTTATTTTTTCCAGGAGGAGCTGTTTCAGTCTTTCCAGAAAATAAACAACTATTAACGATGCTTATCTATAGCTCAGAGTCCATTTGGAGAGCTCGGTGCTGCCTGGGCATCTGGTTACCGACGTCTTCCCAGCTTGCCCGGGACCGTGTGGGTGACAGGCCAGTCAGGAACCAGGCATTTCCCTGCTGCCCGGGGAAGAGCCCGTCGCCAGCCCTGGGTGGCGGCACAGCCCGTGGGTCCCACTGGATGCTGGGATGTCTTCGGGGTGACGTTAGCAGGTGTCTGTGTGAAGAGGTCGAATGTGGCCTGGCCTCGCCAGATGGCATCCTTCTGGGTCTCCTAGTGGTTTGTAGTACCCCTTTCCAGAACAGAAACCAGGTTACAGTGAGCCCAGAAGGGCCTGACCCTTTCTAGTGATGTCCCGCTGTGCCATGTAAGGTCCTCGCCAAGGGATTGAAGGATCGAGCACCCGAGGCTCACAGCATGACCGGGAGACCGGTTCCTCTGACCTCGGGCTCCTCCGAGACGAGCAGTAAAGCTGTGTTCCCAGCATTGCACAGTGTCGCACTTCTGCAGGAGCCTCTCAGCTCTGTGGAATATTTACCCTTTTATTTTTTGGCAATATCGCATGCCCTAGAGAGGGTCACAGGTGGGCAGAGGGTCCATTTCATCCTTTTTTATTGAATTCGCTTCCCTCTGGGTGTACCATGTCTGGTCTATCCACTCATCAGCTGATGGACGGTGGTGGTGTTCGCACTTCTCGGCCACTGTGGCCTTGCTGCCGTTTTGGTGTGGACGTGGGCGGGTAGCTAGGGGTGGACGTGCTGTGTGTCACTTGGAAGGAATTTTCCTGAGCGGCTGCACTGTGTTACATGCCAGCACTGTGGGACCCTTGTTTTTGACTTTTCTTCCTGCTTTCCTGGGATTAAACCCAGGGTCTTATCATTGAACTACACCCCCAGGTCTTTTCTTAAACTTTTTTTAAAATCTAATTTTAAAGAGAATGAAACGAAACAAAATAAAACAGAAGAAGCCAATCAAAACAGTGAAAGTGATACAGACATCAAAACAGGGCCATAGCAAATCAACAATGGCCACCACAGTGTCTCTTGTTATCTTCAAAACTGCTCTCCATACCATCAGACCTAATACAATCAACAAAACAGAACAGAATAAAACCAATCAAAACAGAACCTTGAAGAAAACAATAAAACCGAACAAAACAAAACAGCAAGGAAGCCCCTATTTGCTACACTGGATCCTGTTATTCTCTAAACAGATGTTCAGACTGCTGGCCTTAGGCCTGCAAAGTCAGTCAAACAATACAATAATTAAGTTGTCTTTGTGCCTCAGTTACTCTCACCCCAGCCTGTGACCCTCCAAATCAGCTGGCTGTAGGGTCGGGGCACCCTTCTTGTCTCCCAGCCCAAGTGCCAGCTGGCTCACGGGAGGGCAAACTGGTTTCTTGTTCCTCTTCCCGCCCCACATGGGGGCTGCTGGCTCACAGGGTCTCTTCTTTTTAATTTTGAGGCAAGGTCTCACTGAGTCACCAAGTTAGGTTGAACTCAAACATGCAGTATCCCACCTCAGCCGCCCAGTGTGCTGAGTAACAGTGTGTGCCCCAAATCTAACCTCTGACTTTTTCCTGATAGCCGTCCTAGTGGATGTGAAGTGGTGTCTTGTGTTTCTATTCATATTTCCCCAACGCTGAGTACCTTTCATGTGTTTGTTGTCCACCTTTCTGTGTTATATGGAGAAATGTATCCTCTGTCCTTTTGTAATTAGGTCGTCTGCATTGTTAATTGTAAGTTTTCTCTGTTTTCTCTCTGTCTTCTCTCCATCAGTCAGCCTTCTGTCACTGTAACAAAATACCGGAGGTGAACAAAGTGGGAAGAATTTATTTTGGCTCCTGGTTTCCGAGGTCTCAGTCCGTGGTCAGCTAGCTTCATTGTATGGGGCCTGGAGCCAGGCAGAGTATCCAGCAGGGAGCATGCAGTGGAGCATGCTGGGAAACAGGAAGTGGGGTCCCAGTATCTCCTGCCAGGCCAACCCCCAATATGGCCTCATGGCCTCCCATGAGGCCCAGCCACCTCCCAATACTGCCACCTGCTGGAGAGCAAGCCTTCAACACCTGGGCACTGGGGAGATATTTAAGATCCAAACACAGCAGGCTTGAGGTAATTTTCTGTATGGCGTGAGATCGAATCCAGCTTTTTTTTTAACGTGGCTGGCCAGTTGTCTTAGCATGTCTGTCGGAAGGACCTTTGTTTCCCCTGTTGAATTGCCTTGGTGTCCTCACCCAATTCCATCCTGTTGGTGTCTTCGCCTGCTCTTACAGTGATATCCACAGACTTCATTGTGTAGCATTTTACTGAGTCTTTTAAATCAGAAATGTGAGTCCTCCAGCTTCGTAGTGCATGTTCAAGGCTGTTGTTGCTGAACTTTCCTTGATTTTCCGTACGAATCCTAGGATCCATTGGTTCCTGTGACAAGTCATGAATGATACTAAGCTGGATCTGTCATGGAGCATCCAAATGCTGGTTCAGGCACGCGCTCTGCTGAAGTGCCAGGACCTGGGCAGAGCTGTGCCTTCCAGAAGGGGAAGGAGAGCTGCCCCAAGTGAAGATGAGAAGATCACCAGACACCGTGATTAGTCACTGACAGGCAGAAAACAAAACGGAGCATTGTGGCTTCGGTGTTGGTCTTTGCAGTCCTGGGGATTGAACCCAACACCTCACACATGCTGGCTAAGTGAGTGCCAGGGTCTTACTGAGTTGTCCAGGCTGGCCTCAGACTTGTGATCCTCCTGCCTCAGCCTCCCAAGTAGCTGGGATCACAGATATACACCACCACGCCTGGCTTAGTATTAGATGTTTTGAGCTCACGGGCAGGTCGTGCTGTGAGTGGCAGCCTGAGACTGAAGGGTCGTTCTCACTCAAGGTCCACAGATGGTTCCGCTGGCTGAGCAGGCCCGGGCAGAGGCAGGAGAACTCACACTGGCAGCTGGGACCAGAGGGCCTGTGGGCTGCTGGTGTCTCTGTGATGGCATTCAGACCCCAAGAGCCAAGCCTGCCCTGGGCGTGTGTTCACTCAAAAGAGCTCGTGGTAACCCAGGGACACTCAACTTGGACCCTTCCTGGGCTCTTTGCCAGTCGCTGGTGGTGTGGAAGCCTTTGGCCCGGGGACCCGGTTTCTGAATCTTGTGCAGTGCGGCCGTGTGGGGGTCCCCCAGCCATCATTCAAATCATGTGCAGGAGAATCTCCTGGGACTTCTAAACTTCAGCCCTCGTGTGCGTAATGCACCTGCCGTCCTGGTGGCAGAGCCTGCCCAGCCACAGGGCCTCTGTGCCAGACCAAGGAATGGTGCTGGGCAGGACCAGGAGCACTGAGCCAGTTAGAAAAGACCCACCAGCCAGGCATGGTGGTCACACCTGTAATCCCAGCACTCGGGAGGCTGAGGCAGGAGGATCCTTGTAAGTTCAAGACCAGCCTGCGCTACTAAGTGAGCTCAAGGCCAGCCTGAACTGCATAGCAAGACCCTGTCTCAAAAAAGACATTTAAAAAAATGAAAGAAAATGCAAGATCCAACCACGAGGGCTCCCCAGTCACCCCAAGCTCCCTGCAGCCTCATGTTGGCTTCACCCATGCTCATGCCCATCCCCTCACATATGCTCACACAAGTGGGCGTCCTGCTCTGGGGCTGCCACCCTTCCCCCCTTCCCTCTCGCCTGGGTTCTCTCAGGAAGAATGCCTGTGGCAGGGCAGGGGGCTCAGGGGACAGTGCTGGCCGATCCTGGGTCTCAGGCTGCCCCCTGCCTCCCTCTTTCAGGATGGGCGGAAGCCACAGGCCTCCTGGGTAAGGGACCAAGGGCTTCACCACGCGTGCACCATTCAGGAAAACCACAGTGAGGCCTTTGCGGCCGTTGGCTTGGCTGTGGCCAGGCTTCTGCTCAGCGTGGCCACGTCTCCTGGGCAGTGGCGGTGGAATTGTGCGTGGTGTGGGGTCCCCGTCCTGAGTTCAGCCCTGAGGCCAGGGGTGCCTGCTAGCGGTGCAGGAGCAGCGGCAGGTCCTCCCCGACCCCCGAGTGCCATCGCAGGACCCCAGCCCATGCTGCGCAGGCAGGGACTCATCTCCCAAGCCAAGGGCGACGTTGCTCTTGTGAACAGAAGCCAGCCGGCCGCTTGTCTAGGGACGTGACATCACCCCCGACTTTCTTGCTGCACACGCGTGCTGAGAAGGCCCCAGGAAAGACGTCAGAACCCCAGGGGACATGCTGGGACTCTGGAGACAGAACCCCCGGCAGGGCCTTCACAAGAACCTCAGGGCCACACAGGGGACTCAGTTCCCCGGGGAGCTTGCTTTTCCCTAGGGCCCTTGCCCCAGGCTCGGGAGTCCTGGGGAACAGAGGAGTTGGGGTTCTGTCTTTACTCGGCTGCAGGTGTTACTCTGAGCACCACGAGGGGGTTTGTCTGTTTCCGCCGAATCACTCGCTTTCTCAGACTCCTTGAAAACATCCGGGCACGTTGTCACGGCTGTCTCTCCTCTGCCTCTGCTTAAAGTAACCGAGTGAATTGTATTTACTTGGTTCACCATTTGGAACGCTTTTACTTTGTCTTTTTGAGACAGGGTCTCACTATGTGGTTCAGGCTGGCCTTGAGCTCACTCTGTAGCCCAGGCTGGTTGCAGACTCCCAAGGATCCTCCTGCCTCAGCCTCCCGAGTGCGGGGATTACAGGTGTGCATCACTGTGCCTGCTACAGTTGGAACCTTTCCCAATTGTTTTTCTCAGGAAATGCCTCTGAGCCGGCCTTAGCTACTATAGTTCCAATTTTCCTTGTTTGCTTAAGCCTGTCTTCCTAAATTATGCTGGGGGGGTGGGGGGGGTCCAGACCTTCTGGTCCTTTCTAGCTGCTGCTTTTCATCTCCTTCAACCCCAAGATCCTCACAGGTGAGCTCCTCAGTGCAGACCCAGTCACCCAGGACAGTAATTATCCGGGAACTCCCGAAACCTGGAGCAGCTCCTCGCCAGCTCCTGCACTCTGGGGAATTTGAGTTTAGCCCCTTGTAGCTCTCGCCTTGCTCCAGACCAGGCTCTAAAGTCATCGAGATCTGTCTCTCGGGCGAGAGCTCCAGGATGGTGGGTTCAGAAGGCTTGGCAAGCAGGAGACCGAGGCCAAGCACACCGGTGACTGAGGCCGACTGTAGAGTAGCCAGCACGCTGTCTCCTCACCTTCGAGTTAGCAGCGCTCATAAACTTTGGCCTGTCCTGAGCGCCATAGTGACCGATGTTATTCTAAGTGGTTGCTGCTGGTGGTGGTTTAGGTTTGGTGGCAGGGAGGAGGAGGCAGTTTGCCCTGCACCAGCGAAGCCCGAGAGTCGGGGGTCATAGCCTGAATCCATGAGGACCCAGGAGCTCTGCCAGGACCTCTCGGCTTTGGCATAAAAAACCCTCAGTGGTCCCGTAGCCAGTCAAAAGCACGCACTTAGACTGCGGTCCCAGGTTCCCCAGCCAAACAGAGGCAGGAAAGCCATGTGACCCGTGGCTGCCTGCTGTCTTGTGCTCCCAACCACGGACAAAGCAAATAGATCACTCTAGTGGCATCTTGGCAGAACAAGACTGTCCTCACGAGGGCTTCCTCGGGGGCCGGGGGACGGTCCCTTCGTCCTCAGCAGAGAATCCTTCAGCCACCGTGCAGCCTCAGGGCCATGGTAGGGTGGGAAGCATGCAAGTCTGGGGTCTCCACCCAACAGGCCAACCCCGAGCACTGGGGGTAAAACTGCACATGCATCAGACGAGAGCCAAAGAAAAGCAGCGTGGGGGTTCAGTCCCGGGTACGGAGTGGGGTCTGTTATCCACACCAGCGGGCAGGGAGCCCAGTAAGGCAGAGCAGGGATGGGGTTCATTCTCTGGGGAGCCACACCCCACACCTCTCTTAGGGCCACGCACAGGACACAGGGAAGTGAGGGTGGCAGCTTCCGAGGGACCTGAGCTCTCTCCGAGGTGTCCTAACAGTGCCTGAGCCAGCCGCAGGGGGGCTGGTGGAGCCTGGTGCCCCCTTACTTGAGGGCACCCCTCCTGCGGTGAGGGACACTGATGAGCTGGCTCCCCCAGGGGCATCAAATCAGGGTCTGGGGACATTTTCTGTCCTCTAGTGACAAATCCACGCAGCGTCCTGAGTGCAGTCTCTGGCCCATGCCTCAAGGTTGTGTCCCCACTTGGTGCTGCCCCTCTCCTCCAGATGGGCAGGGATACTGGCTCAGGGGACCCAGCCCTGTCCCCTAGGAGACTCCCCCTGGGGACAACCTGAGCCTCCTCAACAAGGCAAGAGTCTGAAGGGAGAGGGAGCGGGCCTGATGCCTGTGTCCCCCATAGCCAAATGGACCTGGCCCCAGCATCCTCTCCACGTGCATCAGGCCCCGGCAGGGAGGGCGTTGGGGTCCTTGGTGCCCCTGCGTAGTGGCCTGCAGCCCGGCCACACACTCTGCCTTCCTTCTCCTCAGAGACCGGCGAGTGCCTTTCTCGGGCCCAGGGCTCCCCACAGGCCCAGCTGTCCTGCAGCAAGGCAGGCGGTGTGGAGAGCTGCTTCCTGTCCTGCCTGGCCCACACCCTCTTTGTGCCAGGTAACTCCAGGCTCTCCGGGGGTGGCCGGTGTTGGGGAAGGGGCTGCTTCCCTGGAGTCCCTGCTCCCTGCTGCTCTCGAGGAAGACCCTGACCTAGTCCTCCTGGGCATGGGGCCACCTGTCCGTTGGGCTCTTTAGGGTCTGGGCTCCTCCCTGTCGAGCCACTTACTGTGGGCATGTGGCAGGAGCAGGCTTGCAGAGGGGTCCATCCTGATCTTGGTCTCATTCAGCAAACCCCTCAGAGGCCTTGAGGATCTGGGGTCCTGGAAGGGAGTTGTGCCCAGGCCCCCCTCACCCACTGGCCTCTCCTCAGACTCGGAAAACAGCTACATCCTGAGCTGCGGAGTTCCAGGTCTCCAGGGCAGGACACAACCCAAGCACAATGGCACCAGTGCCGGCTCCGGGCCCGGTTGCTCAGGTAGGCCCCGGCTGTCTAGGCCACGCACCCTGGGGTGACCCCTCGGCTTTGTGTCCGGCACCATGCTGTAGGGATGGAGGGGCAAAGCCCAGGGAAGGCTCAGGTCAGGACCCAGTTTGGCCCAGGATCCCAAAGGCAGGGCAGAGCCAGGCCGTGGAAGCCTGGATGCTGGAGCCCAAGTCTCAGCCCAGCACAGTGGGCCACAGAAGGCCGTTCTGGCCCTGGACTCCGGGAGACCATTCGGAGAGGTTCTGAGCGCTCTGAGGCAGATCTCCCTGGGAATCCCTGCCCTGCAGGTTTCCAGGCACAGCATGTGCCAGCCCTCAGCCCTGCCAGGCCTCCTGCCACTCGGGGCAGGGTGTGTCCTCGCTGCTGAGATCACTGGCTGTGATGCTAAGACCAGGGATCACAGGACTCTGTAGGAACCCAGGATTCTGAGCGCCTGGGTATTTCAGACCCCAGCCCCTGCCCCTCCTTCTCTTCCTAAAAAGCCTGAGCCGTGCCTGTGGCTTTGGCAGGGAAGCAGGAGGTAACGGTATTCCTCTCCTGCTCCACAGAGGGCCTCTTGGCTGGACGGCCCTGGGCTTGAGCCTGACCTCCACAGCCCATGTGGTCATCTTCTGCAGCCTTGTCCAGAGGCACAGTTCCCCAGCCGAGAGGGCTTTTAGGGGAGAGTGGCCCACACCAAGCCCCAGCCCCAGCCCCACCTCGGGGTGGGGGTGACTCTCCCCGGGGAGCTCCCATCCCCTACCACCTCCTTGCCCACAGGAGAGGCCACCCCCTGGGGGAATTTTGGCTTTTCCTAGATTCTCCCACTGCCCCCATCAAGCAGAAGGCCCGCTTCAAGACCAGGGATGCCAAGTGCCACCTCCGGCCCCGCAGTCGGGAGCGAGCAAAGGGGACCCAGAGGCTGCCACTGCTGGGTGAGTGTGCCACCCTCACTGCCTATGAAGGGGGAGCAGGGGAGTCCCCAGGCCTGCAGCTGGGCCCCTGGGCAGGTGGGGCTGGATGTTCAGGGGCAGGGGTCACAGCCCAAGGGTTCAGGGTTAGGGCCCTGCAGAGGCTGGCCCTGTCTCATGAGAAGGAAGCCAGCTCTTGAGCCAGAAATTCGGGTTCCGCAGGGTCTCAGTCACTTCACTCATCACCAAGACACAATACTAAGCACCCACCACGCAAAGTGAAGGTTTGTCTCGGCTCACACCTTGCGGAAGTTCCAGTCCTTGCATGGTCAGTTGGGTCCAAGGCAGGAGAGCACAGCAGAGGGGCCTGGCGGAGGAGAGCTGCCCACGGCATGGAGGACAGGAAGCAGAGAGCAAAGGGGGTGGGGGAGAGAGAGAGCCGAGACTGAATATTGTAATCCCTTTTCCAATCCTCACAATCTAAAAAGTTATATTTACAATCCCACTGACACATTACTGGAATCCCAGAAAGTTAATGCCATCTCCAGTGCAACCCACGGCGAGAAGAAAGATACCAAGGCATATTCAAAGTTAAAGGCAGCCAAGGGGTTCCAAGGCCGATCCCCGTGAGGATGTGCAGACGAAGGCCCTGATCCTGGCCTCTCCCCCAATTTATTATCTCGAGGAGGAGGAGGCAGCTCGAGGATGAGTTAGGATGGGAGGACTGAGGTTAGTGGAGCTGGCTGGCCAGGTAGGGAGAAAAGCGGGCAGAAAGATCAATCTGCGTAATTCAATTTAGGTAACATTGGAATGGTTTCAGGAGGCTGTTGCTTCAGTCGCTGAGATGTAAACTTTTGTGGCCTGGGGCCTCACAGCCTCTTACTTTGAGGCTGGAGCTGACTGGCTCTGCCATCCCACCGTGCTCATCTTTTACAGAAATCACTATGCAAAGAAACAGGAGACTGTCAGACTGGCCTTAGGGATTCCGTGTCAGTACCTGAGCCGGCCTTATCTGCAATGCTTAGAGCCGAGTGAAGAGGAGGAGATAGCACAGCCAGCTCTGTACACGTCAGTCTATGGAAGGAGGCCTTGATTTAACCACTGTTGTGGCAGTTGTTCTGCATTCAAGGGGAGGTGCTCCTACACCGTGGTGACCAGGAAGCAGAGAGCAGAGAGGAGTGGGAGGGAGAGAAACCCAGGCCCCAGGGACCACCTCTTCCAGCCAGACACCACCTCCATCAGCAGAGCAGCCATGACCCAGCCATGACCCTCCCAATCCAACCGCCTCCCGGAAGCCCTGCCTGTGCACACATGAGGCTTTGGGGGGACATCTAGACCCAAACCATAACACCCAGCTTCCATGGGGGCGCTTGTCCTTGCCCCCCTGAAGTTAAATGACCACACAGCAAGGGCTTTCCACGTGGCCTGGCTGGGCCCCGTGGATGGAATTAGGGTGCTCACTTGGTGACCATTCTTGAGCTGCAGGCTTAGCTGTGGGGGAGAAAGGATGGCGTCTCCACTGGGCAGAGCCTCTGGAGGCCCCGTGCTGGGTTCATGGTCTCCTTCGTGAATATACATGAGGTGCCTGCATGAGCAGTGCAGGACCTGGCTCAGCCACCAGGTCCCCGTGAGGCCCCCAGCCAGCCCTGACCTTCTCTAGCCTCAGTTTCCCCATCTGCTCCATGGACTCTGGGCCCAGAGGGACCCTGTTCCCTGCCCTGGCCACCTTTACCACAGCGCCACCCTCCGTTATCCAGACAACTGCCACGTGGCTTCCATGACCCTCAAGTGTGATTCCTCCAAGAAGCGGCGCCGAGGCCGCAAGTCCCCGTCCAAGGAGGTGTCGCACATCACCGCGGAGTTCGAGCTGGAGCTGAAGATGGAGGAGGCTTCAGGTGGGTGAGGGTCACCCGTGAGCTGCCAGGGACCTGGGGGAGCTGTGGGGGGTGTGCGCCGGTGAAGCCAGGCTCCCACCAGAGCCATGGCAACAGGAGGTGGAGGTCAGCCAGCCAAGCAGGGGACACTGCACAGCCAGGGACAGTGACGGCAGAAGAGCTCCGTGCCCAGGGGCAGCTGTGGCCTGTCCCCACCTCCACACGTCACGGGTGCCAAGGGCCACCTTTCCTGCCAGCAGAAGGGCAGCGACCCTGCCATGCACTTCACAGCAGCGCGTTCCTCTAGGCTGCGAGTGCTCGGCAAGTGTGTGTGGTGTGTACCTGGCTTTGGGCGTGGGCACCGTGGCCCCTTCTGGGATAGCGCTGCAGCCACGCAGAGGCAGGTGTGCACACAGGCTACCCAGAACTGGGTGACGCCAGGGGTGGCCAGGCGTGAAGACCAGAGGCCGAGATCTAAGGCCGAGAACCCCAGGACAGGGTGCAGGAAGCCTTCCCAGGACAGCAGCCTCTGAGTCAGAGCTTAAAGGGGAAGCTCACTGGATGAAAGCAGTGGCAAGGGGCCGGGAATAGAGCTCAGTGGTGTAGGCACCTGCCTGCCAAGCCTAAGGTCCTGAGTTCGATTCCCGGTACCAAAAAAAAGAGGTGGCACAGAATGGCATGTAGGCAGGAGAGTGGATGGGCCCAGCCACAGGGGTCACATAGACTAGGGTGTTTCAGGAAGTAGGGGGAGATGGGCAGGTGGCTAGAAAGTGGGGTTCACAGTGTCTGGGTGCCAGTGGCTAAGGCAGGTGGGGGCCAGACCTCAAGGTGCTTAGGTTAGAGACAAGGCCAGAGAGCTGGACCTGATCTGGGGACAGTGGCAGTCCTCAGTGCGTTTGAGTCTCACACATACACACATGCACCCCATGAGCTGTGTCCTGGAGGTGACCTGCTGCTATGGACGGAGGCCTCGATTGTCCTTGAGTCACACCTCTCGGATCCCTGGGCCTCTGGTCCTTGAGCTGGACGCTGGCCCAGGCTGCTGCAAGGATGTGCTAGGGGTCAGGGGGGCACGCAGCCCTCCACACCCAGCAGGGCCTGGCGCAGAGTGGGCAGCTGCCAGCAGAGGTGAGTGCTGCTCCCGCTGTCACCCGCAGAGGCCTGCGACGAGACCTGCATCCGGAAGCAGGCGGAGCAGAGCTTGCAGGCGGCCATCAAGACCCTGCGGAAGGCCATCAGCCGGCAGCAGTTCTATGTCCAGATCTCAGGCATGGAGTACGAGGTGGCCCAGCGGCCAGCCAAGGCTCCAGAGGGACCAGGGACCTGTGGCACGGGCCAGGTGCTCCAGGACGGCAAATGCGGTGAGTGTCCACTCAGTGGCCCTCGTATGTGCAAGCCCCAAGGAGCAGGTGGAAAGGTCAGGCTTGTGGCAGGGACCAGCAGGGGGTGCTCTGGGGCCTACTACAGGTAGAGTTGGCATCATCCACCCGACAGTGTGTAGCTGGCAGCCACAGCCACACCTTGGAGCTCAGCTCAAAGCTGAGACTGTGGCCTGGGCACAGTGAAGGGACCAAGGGCCTCTTTCCGTTATTTTGATTTATTTGGGGTATTCCTAGCTTGCAGGAACATTGTCAAATGGAACAAAAAAACACACAAGTTTTCCTCACCTACATTTCCCTGTTGCATTTGCTGGGTTTGCTCCGGGAGGCTTTCTCTCCCAGGTATGTGTACGTGTGTAAGTGTACATGAGCATCTGTGTGCAATCCATACACCCCATGACATCTTTTTTTTACCTTCAGACTGGGGATTGAACCCACAACCTTCACTCTGAGCTACGTCCCTGGTCCTTTTTGAATTTTTAAGTTTGAGATGGCCACTAAATTGCCCAGGCTGGGCTTGAACTCCTGACCCTCCTGCCTCAGCCTCCCAGAAAGCTGGGATTACAGGCGTGTGCCACCAAGCCAGCGACTCCAGTACACTCAGCAGCTCTCCCGACCCTGTCCCTGGGCCCGGCTCGTATCCAGGGATGCAGGTCACACCTCTGCGGTCCCCGGGGTCCAGGCAGCCCTCTCCTGGTGTGGCACGCCTGTCTCTGTAGGCTGACCCTTGGCGCTGTCCACCATGGTCTCCTGGTGACAGCTGGGGCCTGGCATGTCGCAGGGCAGACAGACCTCGGCCACCATGCCTGGTCTTCTGCCCAGGGAAAGTGCTGAGGGTCACCGGCTCCTCCTCCTCCGCTGCTTGCCCGTTGCCCCTGTGATGGAGGAGGCTTTGCTGAGGACGGATCCTGGGTTTCCACCAGGATCCTGCTCCTTGGGGCTCCCACCCGCCACCCCCAGCTTGCCTTACCGTTTCCCACCCGGTCAGGACATCTCCGTTCTGTCAGCTCCACTGCTTAGCAGTCACCCATGAGAAAGAGTTCCCGCTGCATGCCTGTGTGTGTGTGTGTGTGTGCGTGCATATGTGTGTGCACGTGTGTGCGAGCATTGTATATGGGTGCATGCACGTGTGCACCTGTGTGTAAGGAGGAAGACTGAGGGCTTTGCCGCTCACACTGGATTCCCCAGGGCCTCCCCTCAAGGTTCCCTCTGGCCTCCCCAAGCCCTGTCCACAGACGCCTCCTCCAGCAGAGGAACGCGATCCCTTCCTTAATCTGCCGACTTCCTGTTTCCGCCTCTCCTCATGGATCTCCTCGTTGGCCCGACTAGCCCATCCCCTGGCCCTCTGTCCCACCCACAGCTCCCCATTATTCCCCCAGCAGCCTCTGTCCAGCTCTAGGCCACCTATCAGTGTCCTCATGAAACCCCCAGGCGCCATTCCGCCTGGCATCCTTGGGTACCAGCTCTGACACAGGAAGGGGACGGGGTGGGGGAGTCTGGAGAAGTGGCTGTGGCACGTCCAGGTGGAGATTTCCAGAGACAGCGTGGTACACGGCCAGCACATCTGTCCGGGGGGCAGGATGTGGGGCAGAGGGACCATGGGCAGGGCTGGAGGGGCCCAGAGGACCCGGGGTCCTCGTGGATGATGGCAGCCACCAGGGCTGCCTGGCTCTCCCAGGATGGACTGGGCCCTTGGGTGCGGTATCCACAGGGGCGTGGCTGGGTGGGCACCTGGCAGGCAGTGCAGCCCACTGCCCGCCATCGCCCCAGCCGTCCCTCCTCTCTGCCTCCTCAGTGGCCTGCGGACCTGGCACCTACTTCAGTGGAGAGCAGGGCCAGTGCGTGCCATGCGTGTCGGGGACCTACCAGGATCTGGAGGGCCAGCTCAGCTGCACCCCATGCCCCAGCAGCGATGGGGTGGGGCTGGCCGGTGCCCACAATGTGTCACAGTGTGGAGGTGAGTGTGGGTGTGGGCCCAGCTGGGAAGAGGCGAGCCGGGCCCCTTGCAGAGGCCCCCAAAGCACAGGCGGAAGCCGTGCATGGCCACGGAGTGTGATGCTGTCTACAGCACAAATCTCCTCAGTTACCACGCAGGCACCACTCAGACGGGGCACGTATGGTGGCTCCCAGGGCACCCCGTGCCTCAGAGAACCCCAAGTTCCCCGAGTGCTAGGCGTCAGGCAGCTTGCTAGACATTTCCCAGTGTGCACGTAGCCCGTGCCTTCCGGACCCAGCAGGGCTGTGGTGGGGCCATCGAGGGCACCATGGCTAGACCACTCTATCTTCCTCAGAACCCGTCTCCGGGCAAAAGCCACAGGTGTGCTGGGTCAGGAACTTTGCTCTACAAAAGAACTTCACAATTTTGGATCAGGCATGGTGGTGTTGACCTGTAAATCCCAGCTACTGGAGAGGCTGAGGCTGGAAGATCACAGGTTCAAAGTCAACCTGGGCAACTTAGCGAGACGCTGCCACCGAACACAAAGTAGAGTGTAGGGGCCGAGGATTTAGCTCAGCGGCGTAAGTGCCTACCTGGCAAGCACTAGGTCGTGAGTTCAATCCCCGGAACCCAAAAAATAAATAAATAAAAAGGGCTAGGCCAGTGCTGCCTGGGTTCAATCCCCAGTGTCACCAACCACTACACACACATGCACACACGCACACACACATGCACACAAACAAAATAGTTTTCCCCATAGCTGGTTGAAGCAGGGCCTTCTTTCGGTTTACCAAGCGCAGTTTGGTTTTCACAGGGCTTTAACCACTTAGTGCCCCCCCAGGCCCCTGTGAGGGTCACAGTATCCCAGCAGCCTTTTCTCCTCAGCCCTGGGAAGGGGGTTCCTGGGGGGAGCGGAGACCTCTCCAAGTGTGGCTGCCCCTGGAGTGGGAACTGTCAGAGCTTGGGGTGACCATGGGGGGAAGAGTCCCCAAGTCTGGGCTGAGAGGACCCAGAACCCACTTCCCTCCTGTGCGGGAACTCCTGCACACTGCCCCCTGCTGGACTACAGAACATTCTTTATGTTGAGCTGCAATCAGCTCTCACAGGGTACCCTGCCTTGGTCCCACAGGGGTGCCAGGCTTTGCCAGGCCACCCCACCCCACCCAGAGCCTGTCCCAGGGTCCAGACCACCAGCACCTGGTCTGAGCCACAACCTCTGACCTGCAGGCCAGTGTTCCCCAGGCTCCTTCTCAGCAGACGGCTTCAGGCCATGCCAGGCCTGTGCCCTGGGCACGTACCAGCCTGAGCCTGGGCGCACCAGCTGTTTCCCCTGTGGCGGGGGGCTGCTCACCAAGCACGAAGGCGCCACCTCCTTCCAGGACTGCGAGGCCAAAGGTAAGGGGGCCCACTGCCAGCCCGTGCACCTCCGGTCCCCTACAGGGACCCTCAGACTGCCGGGCCTTGGGTCTGACCCCTCCACACTTTCTCCCCAGCTGGTAACCCAGTGTCCCTGGGATGCCAGGAGCCACACAGTCCTCTATGTGCCTCTGTCTTGGGCCCCTCCTCATGCCATGTCCAGTACACAGCTCTCGCACTGTCCTTGTGTCCGAGCTAGGGCGGCCACTCAGTCTCCTGACTGTCCTGATCTCATGGAGGGGAAGGCTTTTGGGTGGGGGAGGTCACAGGGGAGGGCAGGGTGGTTCCCCCCACCGTGCCATGGCCTGGTGCACCAGACCCTCATCGTGTGTCCCCATCTACAGTGCACTGCTCCCCTGGCCACCACTACAACACTACCACACACCGCTGCATTCGCTGCCCTGTGGGCAGCTACCAGCCCGAGTTCGGGCAGAACCACTGTATCACCTGCCCGGGCAACACCAGCACTGACTTCGATGGCTCCACCAGTGTCACCCACTGCAAAAGTAGGTGTGGCAGGAGACAAGGCAGGCGGGGACAGGGGAGGTCGCATCTCGCCCTCTGAGAGGAGGCTCTGTGGGATGCCTTTGGGAAGCCTGTGTCCATCCTGAGCCCTAGCCCAGAGGGGCAGTGCCCACCTGGCTCGCTGTCAGGATCGCACCATGGCATTGCTTCCCTTGCTCACTAGATGTGGCCTGCGCCCAGGAGTCCAGGCCTAATGGACCGAATGCTATGTGCTGTGCAGTCTTTCTGCATTTTACCTTTTGCTAGCCCATTCCCTGTGGCCACGGGTCGTGTCTGGACTACCTAACAGCCTGGGAAAGGGCACAGTGTCGCCCCTGCAGCGGGGCACACGACCCTCAGAACAGGACAGCAGAGGAGTCCACAGATAGAGGGTTTCAACTCCTGATGGGTAAAAGCTTCTAAACGCTGGGGGTGGGAGGGAAACATCTCCCAGAAAGCTTGACCCGGAAGGTCCTGAAGCAAGAATTATAAGAGCTGAATATATATTTCATACTTAGCATTCAATTCATTTTGCAGAACTGACTTCCTTAGACCTTTAAGGCTGGGAACCATTCAGCTCATAAAAACGCCACCTCTGGCCTCTCCATGCTCTTAGTAAAGAAAGGAGAGCGTTTATCTGTCCCCTGGCTGCACTGACCGCCTGTGAGCGCTTGTCCCTGGCGGGGAGGGTGCCCAGGCCGCAGCCGGGGGGCTCTGCAAAGGTGTCTGCCGCAGCAGATGGGAAACCAGGGGAGGGCGGGAAGAGCTTCATCCCTGGGACTCGTGAGCCAGGCAGGGCCTGGGCCAGGGCTGGTGGGCATGGCAGGGCCAGGCGGAGGCAAGGCCAAGGACTCAGCTGGCCCTGCCTGTCCAGCCCAGCCTGACCGGATCCCCGGTCCCGGTGCCAACAGACCAGCACTGCGGTGGTGAGCTTGGTGACTACACGGGCTACATCGAGTCCCCCAACTACCCCGGCGACTACCCAGCCAACGCGGAGTGTGTGTGGCACATTGCGCCACCCCCCAAGCGCAGGATACTCATTGTGGTCCCTGAGATCTTCCTGCCTATCGAGGACGAGTGCGGTGATGTCCTGGTCATGAGGAAGAGCGGTGCGTGCTGGCCTCGGGGCTGGGGCTGGGGACAGACTGGTCTCAGCCACACACCAACACCCTTGCTCGGTCAGGTGCCCGGGGTCAGGGCAGGGAGGAGGTGGCACAGGGCATGAGCTTGGGCGTGGCTGTTGGAGCAGTGTGAGGAGGTTCCAGGAAGCTTAGAGGTGGCCTAAACAGGACCTAGCCAGGCCCAGGTGTCCTCCTGGCTGGGCCATCCTGCCAACTGCAGTGCCTCCCTCCCCCTGCTTCCTGTCACATACCCCTGTGATACCCCAGAAGTGCCTTCCTCCTCCCCTGGAGGCTTGGGTGAGCCAAGGGCCACCCAGGCGCACTGTGGAAGCTGAAGAGTTGAGCAGGGGCACCTTCCACAGGGCCATGGGCAAGCGTGTGCCCGAGTCCTGCCTGTGGGAAAGGAGAAGCAGCTGGGCGCCCCCACAGGGAGCTAGCAGAGGCCTCCAGCTGTGTGGAGGCTTTATTCACACCTGCTTAGTGAGGCTGCTGAACCAGAAAGGGTGAGGGAGCCGCCTGGGGTGCCTCATGGACCCGAGCCTGGACCAGAGCCACGGCCCCACCCAGCCCTGTCGCTGTGTCCTCCACCCACAAGGGCTGCTGCCCAGAGCTCACTTACTTCCTGGGGCGCCCAGGAAGGCTCCCTGGGGAACAATGGGGCTGGCTCCTGGCTCAGAGCAGGTGGGGACTCCCAAACCTGACCCCAGGTCGCCATTGAGACCCACGCAGCCCCCTTAGCTTAGAAGGACCAGGAGACCTGGAGCAGATGCTAGGGAGGAGCTGAGTGTGTGGGGGACCAGGCAGTGCCAACTGGGGGCCACCTGGGTGGGAAGTTGAGGCCCTGCAGGTCTGGGGCGCCTCTGGAATGGTGCGGCTCCCTGCAGCCTCCCCCACCTCCATCACCACCTACGAGACCTGCCAGACCTACGAGAGGCCCATCGCCTTCACCTCCCGCTCCCGGAAGCTCTGGATCCAGTTCAAATCCAACGAGGGCAACAGTGGAAAAGGCTTCCAGGTTCCCTACGTCACCTATGACGGTAAGGCGGGACCCTCACAGAGCCACCAGTGAGGCTGTCCTTGTCCCCGCAGGGCTTGGAGGGTCCACAGGGCAGCTGTCCCTGGAGGAGGGACACCACAGGGGGGAGCCTCGGGTGCCACAGCCCCGGGCAGAGCTGCGCCAGAACCAGGGAGGGCAGGCCGCAAGGAGAGGGTTTTAAGCCCTGGCCTTCCCCTGTGCCCCCGCTGCCCAGAGGACTACCAGCAACTGATCGAAGACATCGTGCGGGACGGGCGCCTGTACGCCTCGGAGAATCACCAGGAGATCCTGAAAGTGAGTGACTGAAGGGGACTCCTGGTACAGGGTCGGGGCTGGCACATCTGCCACCCCAAACCAGGAGGCCTGGCCCTGGGACCTGGCCGCAGGCAGGTTCTCAGCCGTGCTCTCCTGCCTGTGGAAGGAGGGCCTTCTCAGGGCGGGGTCTTGCAGGCGGCAGACCCCATCCACTGTCATTGCACTTAGAGCCCCTCTGCACTGGGCCTGGGCTCCCTCTGCAGCCGCTGCAGCCTGGAGCTGCAGAGCCACTGTCCGTACAGGGAGGCTGTGGACATCACTTAGCAGCGCCGGTCAGAGGCCTGGGGATTGGCTCTGAGCATTTGCAGCCCCCCCCACCCCTCACCCCTCACCCCATGTCTTGCAGGACAAGAAGCTGATCAAGGCGCTGTTCGATGTGCTGGCGCACCCCCAGAACTACTTCAAGTACACTGCCCAGGAGTCCAAGGAGATGTTCCCGCGCTCCTTCATCAAACTGCTGCGCTCCAAAGTGTCCCGGTTCCTGCGGCCCTACAAGTAACGCTCAGTGCTGTCCTGCGGGGACGGCGACCGGGAGGGAAGACTCCTTTCCCTCCGAGGAGGAGCGGAAGGCGGCCCCCTAGGCTCTGTGTCACCTCGGGAGAGCCACGATGTGTGTGGGAGAGCCATGGAGGACTGGGACGGAACCCAGGCCTCCCCAGATGACCTGCCGTCCCAAGGGGGGGCACTCCCTCCTTTCACCTCTTCATTTCCAAGACACCCAGAACGGGGCCTCCTGAGCCGCTCTGGCGGGATGCTGACTGGTCGTGACATGCCACGCCCACCTCACGGTGGCCAGCGAGCGCGCACCCTACAGGCGACATCTCAGGAGAGAAGGACTCAGCCGATGCTCTCCCCGGGACACCGGAGGCAGGACGCTGGTGCTCCCCACACCGGAAGGAAGGCCAGGGAAGGAGGGGCTTGGGAGCCTGCGGCGATGCCCACGGGGCTGCCGCGTCCTGCAGGCTCCTCTGGTCACAGGCACAGCATGTGGTGCCCAGTTGCTGGGCTCTAAGGACACCCTGATGGATGGAGCAGAGCTGCGAGGGGAGACACAGGTTTTGCTTTCCCTTGCTAGGACATCTAATTACTATATATATATGGATATAAATACAAGATTTTATATATATATTATATACTTCTATTTGTGGGTACGTTAGGAAGATGCTCCTTAGTGAATGTCAGTATGGGTTGCTGCTGCCAGCCTGCCCGGAGGGTTAAACCGCTCCTCCTGCGACTGGGGTGCCAGGAGAACCAGGCTGGCCCCAGATGCGCTTAGGAACCAGACTTGGGGGCTGCTGGAACATCAGCCCCACCCCATGCCCCTCATCACTGCCTTCGGTGGGACCCCAAGGACGGCAGCCTGCCCCCAGCCACAGACTTCGCAAGGGGCCTGAAGTCCAGCCCTGTGGCGACCCTCCCCGGGTGCTGTGTGGTGCCCACAGATCCCCAGGAAGCAAGGTTTTTCTCAAGGGGGTGCAGGCTGTGCTGGCCAGGGAGCCTGGAACAGCCACCCGCTCCTCGCCTGTCCCGGAGGAGGACAAGGCGGGGCGTGGTCTCCTTTCTGCCACTCGGTGCCGCCTGTCTGAGTCTCCCCTGGACACGAGAAGTCTGAGTGCAACCAGGAAGCCAGTGCCTGCCTGGGACACAGCCACCTGAGACCCATGGCGTGCGGGGCCTACATATCCTCACTGCTCGTCGTACTGAGCTGTAAGGTGTGCATCACAAATAGTCCGTCTTTTTCAGGTTAACAAATACTAAAAATTGCAAGAGACACAGGAAGAATCTTCAAGTGAATTCCAGCCACTGATTCTAAGTGGCCGTTGGGGCTCCTGCTCCCAGCCCTGCCTGACGGATGGGAGGTCTGAGAAATGCACATGACCCACTGAGACAGTGTCGAGACTGGCAGGTGACCGAGGTCATGAGGCTACGGCCTGATGCAGGGTCTCACACATCCTACAGTCCAGAAAAGGGGCCAGAACTCAGGAATGAGCACCGTTACATGCATCTACCAAGGCTGAGCCCCCGCTGCCACCAGCCGCCTTCTCCGCTGAGTCCCAAGCAGAGGATGATGGTGGCTGGGGTCTCTGCACTTGCTGATAGCCCTGCCAGGGGCCACACTGCTCCTCTACTGGTCACTGTCCCTGCTGGCCTGCCTCAGTTTCCAGCAGATATCCCTCCCTTTATCGGGTCCCAGAAACAAGAGCAGATGGTGAGTGCCCCACAGAGGACCCTGTGAGGGGCTCCGCCTCTTTATTAAGGCTCCCCCTGGAAATGGGGCCCACAGGATGTTCAGAGAAAGATCAGAGGGGACTTCTCATGAGAACCACCCCACAGACCATGAGGCGAAGCTGTTCTGCGAGGCTCCCTGTGCAAGCTGGGAAAACAGGAAGCTGGCAGCGTGGTTCAGGCTAAATCAACTGGAGAAGCCAGGCACTGGTGCCACCCTGGAGTCCAGAGGCCGGAGGACCAGGAGCAGAAGGGGGATGTTCCGGCTCCAGGGAACGTTCCCTTCCTCCACCTTTTTTGTTTAATCAGCCAATCAAGGGACCTCACTGTCGGTAGGGACAGACACCAGGGTCCAGATACTGCTGGCCACAGGGGCCAGGTTTGAAAGCCTTGAGAGCAACCTCTGACCTCTGACAAATGTGCCGTCAGCGTCGGGGCTGTCTCGGGTCCTCGACTGAATCCAGGAGCTGGTGGTCTTTGGTGCGGCTACCAGCCCCGGCAGGAAATCAGCTGGGTCCTCCAGCAGCGCTTGTGACGCATCACTCCAAGGAAGACGGGGAACAGGGCAGACACAGAGCCGACAACCTGCCCAGGACAGCGGCCACCTCCCTACAAACATCGGCCTGGTACAGTCAGTGCCCCAGAAGGCGGGGACCCCAACTGTCTCCCTCCCCCTGTACCTCATAGCAAGGTCCCATTGCTTCACCAAAGATACACATGGTGGCAGGCAGCCCTTCTAAGGGGGCAGCACCCAGCGGATGCCACTCAGGCCTAGGCTGAAGGACCAGGAAATGCCCACAGAACACACGGAGACGGGCAGAGAGCCCCTCTGCTCCCCGCTGCCTTGGCCTCCCTGGCACAGTCCTCCAGGAATGAGCTGGAAGCGGGGCATGCCGGAGTGTGCGCTGAGCCCCTGTCCTGCCTGGAAAGGCACAGTGGAAGAAGTCACCTCAGGGCCCAGGCGACAAGGCACGGCATGTGCTGCCTCCCAGCGCCCTCCTCTCAGGGCCCCCACAGAGCAGGCCCGGGGTCCCTGAGGCCTCACAGCCGCTGCTGGGCCATGCCAGCCTGGAGCCCACCGCGTAGACCCTTCGAAACTGTCCACCACGAAGTGAGGACTCTTCCAGTGTCTCCTACGTGCCAGGCACCCAGCGCTACCCTTTCTGTCCACACAGGTGGTCCTCTCGGCCCAGCAAGGTCACGTGAGGTCACTATCCTCACGTGTGGGCACCAGGACTCAGGGAGACCAAGTAACATGGCCAAGGTGAAGCGCTAGAGGTGGTGGGGCTGGGAATCCCAGTGGAGCCTTCCTGGTTGCCGGTAGGAGCTGTCACTGTGAATGCTGATTCACTGAATTTATAGGCTGGAGCCTCAGCCAGGCCAGCCTGGGATGAGGAGGGTGCAGGAAGGGTGCAGGAGGGTCCAGGAAGGGTGCACAGAGGCTTGGGGAGGGCGACCCCAGCAATGCTTCCTCCCTTAACAAGCATTAAACGTTCAGAGAAAGGTGGGCTTGCAGTCTCTCGGGGCAGGGGACAGGGTGCCACCTGCACCTGCTCCTGGTGTCCTGTCCTGCTGCTCCCAGGGATGCCCCGCAGCATGGCCCGCCAGGGACTCTGGTGCCCGTGGGCAGACGTGGGGAAAGGTAGAGGGCGGGCGGCAGCCTTGCAGCTCCAAGGGTTTGGTTTCCAGTCCGGAGGCGCTGGGAAGCTGCGGATTCTGCCGGCCCAGAACCCTAAACACCGGAGCAGACCGATCCACAGGGCTCCGGGGAGCCGCACCCCACCCGCAGCCCTCTCCTCCGCGGGTCCAGCCCGTCCCTGTGCTCACCGTCCATCTGCTGCAAGGGTGACGAGCAACACAGCCGCATTTTCCTTAGTTGCCTTGAACATTCAAAGCTTTGTTTTGCCACCATGGCCCCTCACATGCATGTAATGGGACATTTGTGAAAATCACTTTAATAATAAACAAGAAATGAACCTAAATACTGTTCTGCTGTCTCACTCATTAGGGGTCATGATTGGGGCTGAAGAAAGGCAAGTTGAATCCAGAAAAGAAAAATAAAAGTAAGGAATTTCCTGACTGCTGAAGGCTGAAACGGGCTGCCCTAGCCCTCTGGAAAGCAGGGCGGGGAGCTAGAAACCGACCTGCAGGGGGAGAAGCAGGAGTCCCGAGCTTCTGCCTGAAGTACCTGTCCATGCCACCAATGCCCTCTCCCCGCAGGACTCACAGGTGTGGCTCCGGGGAAGAACACTTGCCCAGCATGTGTGCGGTCCTGGGTTCCATCCCCAGCACTCCAGAGAGAAGAGAACCAGAGTTCAATGCTCAGTGTCCTGTTTTTTCTGAGAATACAGCCCGTGGCTTTCACAGCTTCTAAAAGAAATCTAGACCTCAGAAAGGCTAATAATCACCTCTCTCCTCAATCACGTGCTCTGTACATACCATATACTCAACAGGAAAGAAAACAGGTTATGTGACACCAGTTGACAATCTGAGTGGCCCATTTCTAGATTTAGCACAGTGGTTTTGATGTCCAACGAGGTGGGCACAGGGGTGGCTTAGTGGTAAAGCACATGGGGTTCCATCCCAGGACCTCAAAAATAAGTTTAAAGTGACTTCTCCATGTTTACCCAAGAGAATTAAAAGTAGGATTTGAAAGAGTATTAATACACCGTGTTTGATCACATGATGGAAATTCCCAGTTGCCACAGTGAGGCAGGCGATGAGGGCACAGGCAGCTGGCTGGAAATCCAGCAGCCAGAAGCGCTGTCGTGAGCTCTTGCCGCTGCGCGCCCTTCCCCAGTGGGCCCTCTAGCCCTGCAGAGCGAGCTTCTTTGCCAGCTTTCAGTTGGCCCACACACACTTCACAGGCTCATTTCTTACCTTTCATAATTGTAAAATCTCTCTGCCCTTTGTGCTTGTCTTAACCAACTCTTTGGTTAGCACACAAAGAATCTAGAAAAAATATCTACAGTCTGTACCATCCCAGAGCCCGGTAACGAAAGGGTTCAGAGAGCTCAAGTAAGCACTGGCAAATGATGGATAACACCTAGGTGGTACTCACCCTCCGAAAAGGTGCTCAGCCTCGCAAGTGCGGGCAAGCGCCCTGACCTCTCTCCTTGAAGGAGCAGCTGTCTCCATTTTGGATGACCTTGGCCCCGTCTCCCTGTACTGATACCTATGGAGCTGGCTGGGCCATTTCTTCCTCCCTTCAATTGGCTTTAAGCAGTGTAAGTTGGGCTGAGGAGCTGAGAGGCTGACGAGTCATCTTGACAGTAGCCGTTTCCCGCCCAGTGATTCCCAGAATACATGGTTGAGCTGGTGGAATGAAGAACCATCGTCCTGTTCCATGTTATCTGTCAACTGAGACTGAACCTCAGGATAAAAGGCTGTGACTTCCCAGGGCAAAAGGGCTTGCACACCAGAGCTGAGCACTGGCCCAGGGTATTAGATGCTACCTCAGCTGGGCTATGCAAATTGCTCTCTCTGCATTTCTGTTCCTCTGCTTATGTCAGAGGTCACCTCCGGCCTCCGACCCAGCTCAGCTCATGGTACTCACGGATTCCCACCACTGTCACTCATGCCTGAGCCTCTTCCCTCATGGAGGATTACTCAGAACTGGGTTGGACCCTGGCTCGAGGCCTTGTTCCGGCAAACACCGTCTTGGCTGGACTTAGGAGCCCCGGGCTCCCCATAACTGTGTATATGTTTTCGTGTCTTTTTTCTCACCTTGGGTTGCACTGGAAGCAGTCGATTGGAATTAACTCACTGGAATTCCAATAATTTTTCCATGTGATTACAAATGTAGACTTCCTGGACCAAGCTGAGGTCCAAGAAGGGCTCCCTCTATATAATAAAGTGAGAAATACAATCACACCAACAAAGGGATACCAAGTGGACCAGGTCGGCAAATACTAAGTGATCTACGGGTGGAGAG